GACAATACCATTATCATATATAGTAAAAAAAAAAAATCAGCAGTAATTCCTTGCCATCATTAAAGATCCTATCTGTGTTCAATTTCCAAGTGCTCACAAAGAGGATTTCTCTTATGCTTAAAAAAATCAGGATCTGAATAAGGTCCACATGTTGTTATTAAGTGCATCCTTTATGTCTCTTTTAACCCTAAGCTCCTCTACCTCCCTTTTTTTTCCCTTAAAAACTTAAAAATCAACTTTATTGAGATATAATGATTCCAGGAATGCAAGGTTGGTTCAACACGTGAAATTCAATCAATGTAATTTACCATATTTATAGAATAAATAGAAAATCATATGATCATCTCAGTAGATGCAGAAAAAGCACTTGACAAAATTCAGCCTCTATTCATGATAAAAACTCCCAACAAACTAAATAAACATGATTTTCTTTACCTGATGAAATGCATCTACAGAAAACCTGCACTAACATAGTTATCAGTGAAAGCCTGAATGGATGCCTTCCTCTAAGATCATGAACAATGCAAGGATAGCCACCCTAACCATTTTTATTCAACATTATACTGGGGATCCTCACCATTGCAATAAGGCAAGAAGAAGAGGTATAACGATAATATAGGCAAATGTAAGATTGCCTCTATTCACAGACAATGTTATTGTCTACATGGAAAATCCTCAGGTATTTACAAGTATCTACTGAAATTAATCAGTGACATTAGCAAGGTTGCAGAATATAAGGCAAATGGGGATCCCTGGGTGGCGCAGCGGTTTGGCGCCTGCCTTTGGCCCAGGGCGCGATCCTGGAGACCCGGGATCGAATCCCACATCGGGCTCCCGGTGCATGGAGCCTGCTTCTCCCTCTGCCTGTGTCTCTGCCCCTCTCTCTCTCTCTCTCTGTGACTATCATAAATAAAAAAAAATTTAAAAAAAAGAATATAAGGCAAATGTACAAAAATCAGTCATATTTCTATATACTGGCAACAAATGACAGAAAATGAAATTTGAAACATGATGTACAATAGTATCAAAATGCTTAAAATACTTAGAAATAAGTCTAATGAAAGATAAGCAAGAACTTTACACTGAAAACAACAAAATATTGCTCAGATATCTGAACCAAGATGGATCCTTTGGCACTCTCACTGAAATTAAGGACTTTTATAGCACCCATCAAAGATGCATCAACTTGCCAGGTTTTCCTCTTCTCTGAGTAGAAGACTTGGCCGTTTGCCTGAGAATAGGCCTCTCTACCTGGCAAGTCATCCAACCTATCCAGTAAAATATCCACTTCAAAGCTGAGCTCTGAAGTAGTCATATTTGTGACTCCAAGAAGCCCTATTTCTTCCAGCATGAGAAGCCACAGACCCCAGGCCTTTCCCAAAATCACTGCATACTTTCCCAACTGAGGGATGTCCAGCCCCACCTAGTTTATTTGGAAGACTTCATCACCTGCAAGGAACTTACAAAACTCCAGCTCCTCTAACTCAGGTCCTGCTAGTCTATCTCCTTAAAAGACTCTTACCTGCAATCACACATTGAATAAAGAAGTCATTTTGTGACACTCTAGGATATATATTTCACTATCTTAAAGATACACTTTCCATTTAAAGCAAACGAAGATCATCTCAAGATGTAACCTCCTATAGATTGGCCTATTTGAGTTTCTTTCTCATTGCTCATGTAAATAGCAAGCAATACTTTCCAATAAACAGTTTGAAGTCTTTTTAAATGCTGGAAACTTTAAGAAGATACAAATAACTAGAGAGATGTACCATGATCATGGATTGAAAAACTCAGTATCATTAAAAATGTCCATTCCCCACCCTCAAGCTGATATATAATTATTGCAATCCCCAATCAAAATCCCAGCAGGCTTTTTCTATAAACTGGCAATCTGTTTCTATTATTTTGTACAGAAATGCAAAGTAGCCACAATAATTTTGAAACATAACAAAATTGGAAGATACACACTATCCAACTTGAAGTCTTACTATAAAGCTGTAGAAATCAAGATGGTGTAGTATTAGCATATAAGGATAAATAAACAGATCAATGGAAGAGTAGAGGGAGTCCAGAAACATATCCACACTTACATGGTCAACTAATTTTCAACAAATGTGCCAATGTAATTCAATGCAGAAAGGAAAGTTTTCAACTAATGTTGCTAGAACAACCAGGAACTATAGGGGAGAATGAACCAACCACAAAAAGGTTTAAGAAGGGAGTGACTTGTTCTGAGTTTTGAAGAACTCTCTGCTCTTGGGTGGAGAAAGGATTTGAGGGAGGGAGGAATGGGAAACCAAAGAAGCAGAGAAATGATAAAGAAGGCTATAACAATGGTCTGAGTAAGAGCAGATGATGGCCAATGTGGAGAAAGTGCAGATAGAAAGGAAGGGGCAGACTCCGGATACAAATAGAAGATATGAACTCCCAGACTCCAGCACCTCAGTTTCTCCCCTGGTCAGGCCTCAGTGCTGCTGTATTTTTAGAGGCACCACACAAGATTACTTACTAGAAGGTGTATAGACTCCTTGAGGAGCCCTTACCTGGGTGTGGGTGAAAGGCAAAGGAAACAGTGGCTCGGCCCCAAGTAGGGGATCCCCCCTGGCCACGCCCCATTGCTGGACCTGGGACCTGCTCTGCAGGGTAAGGGCTGGGCCAGGGCTGGACGAAGGGGTGCAGGTGGAAAGTGGCTCATGAGAGAGCCGGCCAGTCCACCCTGGCCTTGATCTCGCCTCTCATCCACCCTGGTGCCCAGTGGGCAGGACACCTCCTGGCAGTTGGGCTCGTTTTCCTTTCAGGAGAGCTGTGACATCACTGTCCTTAATATCACCAGCACCTGTGCGTCAGGAAGGGACAGTCCCCTGGACTGGAGCCATTTTGGCAGCAGAGACTAAAGGTCCCCACAGCCTGTGACCCTGAGACTGAGACCCTGGTACCTCTACCAATTCAACTCAAGCTTGAGGTAAAACAGAGGGTTTGGCCAGAGCTTCTGACACTGGGGTGTAGTGCTGCTCTGCCACTAACAGGCTGTGTGGCCTTGGGGAAGATACACTTCCTCTCTGTCCTGCAGGATCCTGTCTGTAAAATGGGGATAACAGTCACAGTTACTTCATATAGGGTAGTTGTGAGGATCAGGTGAAGGTTAGTTGAATAAAACAGTGCTTGGTGATAACCACAAGGGGTGCAGTCACGCGCAGATCCAACTAGACGACCTTACTTCCTCTTTCACCCCCGCTGCCCCCCACCATCTATCCTAGACTGGTAGGGGCTCATCCCTCACCCCACCCTCTTTCTAAGGTCTGGGTAATGGGGCTTCTCTCTACGGCCACCACTGGTTTTGGAGGAGCTTGGGGGAACATCAGGCCTTACTGCCTCAGTTTCCTTCTGCACTTCCTCTGTAAAAAAAACTCCAAGGAAGCGGTCTCCCCAACTTTCTCAAAGGGCAGTGACATCTTAAAGGAAAATACAAAGACCCAGCACAAAGTCATAGGATGGAGACAGAGGACAGTGGGAATGCTCCCCCACCTTCCCGGCTTCTGCTGGAGAAGGAAGCTGCCCAGCCTGCATGACCCCCTGCACCTGTGTGGTTTTGGCTGTTCCACACTTGCTTTCTGCTCCCATGGAAGGCCAGGGGCTCTGTGAGGCCCAGAGATGGCTCAGTGAGAAGGCTAAGGGGGCCAGCTGCCTGCCCGTCTCCTGGCAGGAAGGCCCCTCAGGCCACCGGCCCCATGCAGCTCATAAGGGCCTCCTTGCCATTGCAGCCTCTTCTGGGGTTTGGGTACCAGAAGCTAGTAGCTCTGTGGTTCATGGGAACTGAAAGCTGTGGCTTTCCTTGTGAATTGGTCTGACGCCTTTTCCTTCCTGATGGACTCACAGCTACTTGCCTGGCGGATGTGCTTGGTGGCCAGGCAGGAGTGCTCAGGAGCGGGATGGGGGAACCGACTGGCAGAAGGATGCAGTGACTAAGAGAGCAGCCTTCACCCCTCTCTGCCGAGGGTCCCCTTCTCTGGCTGCTTCTTCATTGCAGGAAGGGGCCTGGGACAGGACTGCCTCCTTACCACCACCTACCCCCCCCCACCTCATCCCCACTTTTAGGAGATGGCTGAATGGCAAACCAGCAATATTAGTCTGGGGACTCCCACCTCCGGGGGGGGGGGCGGGGGGGGGTTCAGGGCTGAGAGTGCCCTCAATCAGTCCTAACCATGGAGTTGCCTTGAACAGGTGGGCACCTGCTATTTTACTCAGTTGTGGGCTGCCGTGATTGGTGCTTTGAGGCCTCTGAACCAGGCTGGCAAACTTCTGACTCACAGAACCTTCTGAAGTCCAGACTGGACCAGCAATGCCTCCTTGCTTTATTTGCAAACAAGAAGCTTCACCGCTGTGAACCTCAGTTGTGAACTCCTGCGGTCCAATGGCTTAGGAGCTGGCCGGTCTTCTATTCTCTATTAACCGGGCGCCCCAGGGAGTTTGGTCAGGCGCCAGCCTCTGAAGACAGCCAAGAACCAGCCCTGGACCGAGGGGTGAAATCCCGACCTTCTGGTGCCACCTCCACCTGGGCTCCAGCTCCCGGGAGCTACGTTGGGGGAAGGGAGGGGTCTGGAGGTCAGCAGAAAGGCCACCACGAGATCGAAGTGGACACGAAACTCACCGCACCTAAGGGACCTTTATTCCCACTCCCCCCACGGAGCGGTGGCAAGTCCCTGGCCGCACAAAGTCAGCCTGCCAGTCGCGCGGTCCAGCCACAGCCGGGCCCCAAGGAGCCGCCCGCCCGCGGGCCAGGGCGACACGCCCTGGGCCTCGAGCTGAGCCCATGCGCCCTGGCGGCACTGGGAGCCCCGCGGGGTGGGGGCTGGGGGCTGGGGGCTGGGGGGCTGGGGCCCCGCGAGGGCGGGAGGGCCAAGGTGCGGGCGAGGAGGGAGGGGGAGACCCGCCCCCCCCGCAGGTGGCCCGGACGCCCAGCGGCTCCTCGCGGGGGCCGGGCCCGGGGGCGGGGCCTGTCGCGCGCGTCCCCCCCCACGTGTCCCCGGTGCCCGGCCCTGCCCCCGGCCCGGTGTTTATAACCCGGGATTCACGACGCGATCGGCCCTGCTCCGCCGCCTGCCACCGCCGCCCGGCCCACGGTAAGGAGCCCCCGGCCCGAGACCGCCACTCCCACGCCTCGCCAAGGCCACCCTGCCCCGGCCCCGCCGACAGCCAGCCGAGGAGGCCGAAGGGAGCGCGCCCCGGGGCTTGCACCTGGGCGGGGGGCGGGGGGCAAGGAGGCCGAGCCTGGGGCCACCGCGCTCAGGCGCCGGGCGACGGGATTCCCGGGTCCCTCGGGGGTGGGGCCGGGCTCCCGTCTGCGGCCCTGAGGGGGGCTGGGTCGGGGGCTGAGGTCCTTTCTGGACTTCCGTCTCTAATCCAGCTTCCTCTCTGCCGGAGCCCAGCCCCATGGAGACCCTGGGAGTCCGGAGGGTGTGGGGTTCCCGGGTTCTCTCGCCCCCTCGGGCCACCCCCACCCCGTCTCTCTCTTTCTCTGCGGGAAACCAGAGTTCCAGCCCTCCCTCTGCCCCTCGCCCCGGGGCTTGGGCGTATCGGCCCCCTTGCACAGCCCCGAGCCTCAGTTTCCCCGGGCAGCTGGGCTGCGGCCCGAGTCTCGAGTGCGGCCGCGCTCCCTCCCCTGCAGGGGACGCGCGTCTCCGCCTCCCGAGCGGGTTAGCGCCCTGCGCCCAGGTGGGGCGGGAGGGGCCGCTCCGCAGGAAGCGTGCGCCGTCCGCGTGGCTGTTGTCTTTGGCCCCTGCGCGGCTGCGCCCTCCGGGGCGGGAGGGCCATTGGGAAATGGAGGAAACTCCTCTCCCGTCCCGCCTGGGCTCTTCCTGGGGAGCTCCCGTGACCCGGCCACGGTGTTCCTTTCTGCGCAGTGGGAGCGTCTCCCTCGGAGCACCGCCGTCTGGCTGCGCGCCTCAGGCAAGAACAAACCTGTCCTTTCCCCCAGAGACGGATCAAATAGGCCCTAGGCTTTGATCCTTCCTTCCCAGCCCGCAGGCGGGTGGCAGGGCACATTCTGGAGCCAGCCGACTCAAGCCGGGAAGGCAGACACCACCAGGGGAGGCCTTGGGTCAGCTGCCAGCTAACCCAAGCCTCAGTTTCTCCATCTGTCCGAGCTGCCGCAGGCTCAGGGCTCAGGAGACAGTAAGAGATGGTGGGACAGTCTCTGTAGACTGTTGAGAGCTGTGCCTGGGTCCATTCACTCATTAACTGTCTGGGCCATGCCTTCCCTGGAGCAGTAAACTAGGGACATGGAACAGGAGGTAAGTTGTCTGCCCTCCTGCTGAAGGTTCTGGTGGGGAGGGAGACCCCAGAGACCAAAAGAGCCACCAAAGGGATGGGAACTTTGGTGATGGACCAAAGAGACCGGTGGAGTCTTCATCCTAAACTCCCTCCCCGGGGCGCCTGGATGGCTCAGTCGGTGAAGCATCTGTGAAATGGCTCAGATCATGATCCCAGAGTCCTGGGATCCAGCCCAGCATCCAGCTCCCTGCTCAGCAGAGAGTCTGCTTCTCCCTCTCCCTCTCTGTGCTTGCTCTCTCTCTCTCTCAATAAATAGATAAATCTTTAAAAAAAAAAAAAAAAAAAAAAAAAGCTCCTTTCCATCTCCCCCTCTCAAAGCCCAGGCAGGAGAGCCCAGGGTGGGGTGGGGTGAGGTAGGGCAAGGCAAGGTGAGGCAGGGACCTGCCTCAGTTGGAGCCAACTCTGCTGAGAAGCAATTCTGGCTCTGCCCAGTACGAGTTGATGGAATGATGAAGGCTGCCCACTGATTAGCGAGGCCCTGAAGAGGCCTTCACTCTGCATGGTCTGAGGTCCTCTGAGTCCTCACATGTGCCCCACCACCTGCCCTTTTGCTCCGGCTTTGTGGTCACTTGGCTGTGCTGCTAGCCATTTCCCCTGGTTTGGGGCCCAGAGCCTGACTCCCGGAGCGGGGGCCACGCCCAGACTCACCTGCTGGGCAAGCACTTTCCCATGTCCCATTTCATCTTAGCCCCCTGGGTCCTGGGAGGTGAGCCAGGACAGCCAGATGCCTTCACTGGAGCACACACCCCTGAAGTGAGCACCTTGCCTACAGGCACCTGTGTGTAAATAAACCAACTCCCTGGAATGCAGGGTCTAAGGCCCTGAGCTCTGCTCTAACACTGCAGGCAGGGTTGATCTTCCAGGCCCTGGCATGTTCAGGCAGGTTGTAGGTGCCCCCCGCCCCACTCCCAGACTTGGGGGTAGGCCATGCACCCATAGGCTTTTTAATATTATTAATAGAATCAACGAATGAATGTACTCTTCTTTCCTCCACGAGCTCCAAATGCTCTTAGGAGCTTGCATGTCCCTTACCAGAGTCTGGTGAGATCTACTTAGTCTCCCTTCCATCCTGTCTCAGGACCTTTGCACCAGAAGCAGCGACTCAACCTTCCTGGCCCAGGCAGGCTCTCAAACGACCCCTAACCCTGCCTGGATAGGAGTTTGCTGCAGTATCACTGTCCTCAAACGGAGCCAGTGTTTCAGATTTGATTCTCAGGCCCCAGGAATCCCGTGGCCAAGAGCCAGCTCAGTGTCTAGCCTAAGGCAAGCCCCTCGACCTCAGCTTCCTCATCTGTCAATTGGGAAGAAAATCCCTCCCCTGTCTCCCAAGGATGTGGGGATGAGCTGAACCTGTCAAGCACAGGGTGGGGCTGAAACCCGACAGCGGCACCTCCTGGTCAGAGTGCAGAATTGCAGCCTAGCTCTGTAGGGCATAAAGGAAGCCCGGAAAGGGACAGGGGCTGCAGCCCTAGAATGAAGAAACCCCAAAGTTAGAATTCTCCTGGCCTCAGGGGAGCAAGGGTGACAGGGGCTGTAGCCCTAGAATGAAGAAACCCCAAAGTCAGAATTCTCCTGGCCTCAGGGGAGCGAGTTTTCAAAAAACTGTAACAACTGAGCTCAGCTGAGTTAAAATGTCAGGGAGGGATTCCGGAAGAATGTTTGCCAGGCTATATCCCTGACACAGAGAAATATACTATTGATTGGTGATGATTCGTTGGGGGTTTTGTTTTCTGGAAGACAGAAAGTGAAGGAGGTGTGATCTGTGGCCTCCTAGAGTCCAGAGTGTATAGGGCATGGAGCAGGAAAGAGCAAGTGGTCTGCGGTCAGCCTCAGCTTCTGTGCCAACACTGCCATCCGCTAGCTTGCGGCCCTTAGGAAGTCACTTACCTTTGCTGAGCCCCATGTGGTCATAATAGTCTCCACCTTGAAATGGCCCTCGTGTGGCACCGAGCACAGTATCACAATGCTCTTGCCATTGGTCCAGCTCTGACATTTTAGAGCACATGGGCTTCCTTAGAACCAAGCGAGAGTCAAGGCTGGCCTCGCACCCTCTCTGGAAATCAGTGGGGATGGCTCTGGCTGGGGCCACGAAGAATGCCACCTGCCTTGCCAACTCAGGCCAGGCTGCCAGGCATCTTGGCACGAGATCATCTTTTTTCCCTCTTCCCAGGTGTCACTTTTCTGTTGAAAGATGTCAGGGCTAACATGGGAGGGGAGAAACAGAGATGTTTTGGACAGGGACACTGGGCCTGTGCCCAGGACCTGGGGAAACCTGCCCTGGGCCCTTCAAGGAGGGTGGGGCAGGGGCAAGGATTGGCTAAACACTTCCCCCAGGCAGGCAGGCAAACCAGAGTCCTGGGGTGTCAGAACCAGAATGGTTTTCAGGTTGTAGAGGTGGCTAGTTGAGCCCTGGGGAGTGAGGGACAGGCCTGAGCTTAGCTGTGACAGTGGTAAGGAGAGTCTAGGGAGTATGGGCTTGGGTACCCAGCTCTGGATGCTCTCCCCAGAATCCCACTGAATCCTCGATGGCTTCCCTGTGGACCTATGGGCTATTCTCATCCCCATTTTGCAGATGAGCAGCCAAAGCCACTTGAACACCAGCCTGGAGGATCCAGCCACTGTGCTTTACCCATAGTGGGTCCCACTGGGCAGTGACTGCAATTCCTTCCTGCTCCTCTCCCCACCTCCTACTCCCACATCGAGGCCTCAGCTCCATTAGTTTCCACTCCTGGAGACAGGCAGCAGTCTCATTACTCAGCCCAGGGATCTTGCTGGCTGGGGAAGGAGGCCCTTCACTGGGTGCCTTGGGGGAGGGGGCAGGAGGGATGCCAGTGGCAGATTGCATCACTTCCTGGCCCACCTGCCCCTCTAATCTCTGCACACACAGGCCCAAACACACCACACACCCATGTACGTGCCGGCATGCACACAGCATTCGTGCTCTTAGTTACGCAGGCCTAGCTGCCTGCATTCTTGCACACTGCTCAGACCCAGAGGCCACCGTCCTCAGCAACCATGCATACACGCGGCCTGGCAAGCAGGAGGGGCTGGCTGGTGTCTTCGTGAGAACATGCATAGAATTCCAGGCTTTGAGGGGACTTATCTAACCTTCTCTTCACAAGCAAGGAACTGACCTGTAGGCCACAGAATCAGAAGTGTTGTTCTGAGTGCCTGCCACATGTCAGGCACTGTCTCTGTGAGACGCTCCCTGTCACTGTGGAGCTCACAGCTGTGGCGGTGGGGATGCAACTAGAATACTGTGTGACATGTGCTGGGATGGGCCACGTACAAGGGATCACTGGGCAGAGCAGGGCAGGGATAGGCGGTCTGTCTCCGTGGCCTCCTCTCCCGCACTGCAGGGCTCACCCCCTTGGCTCTAGGTGCCCTTAGGAGACAGCAGAGCAGGGTGGATCTTGCACCAGCATCATCCTCCCTGTCTGGAGCCCACCCCAGCCACGCCAGGGTGTCTGAGCCACCTGTGGCTTCCCAGACCGCACCTGCCCCTGTGTTTCCCTGCTCTGGGCCTTGTACCTTCCAACGGTGGCTTATGGGGCCCAGCCGCTCTGAGTTTGAGTCCTGGCTCTGCCACTCCACCAGCCAAGCAAGGCCTCGAGCAAGTTCCTTAACCTGAACCTCAGTTTCACTGTCTCCGAAACAGAACGCAAAGGGAAGGGCTCAGCTCATGACGGATAGGTTCATTATGCTGATCGCGGTGACGGTTTCACCCTACGTAAGACGCTCTCCATATACGCAGCTCCTTGTATCTCAGTTATACCTCAGTGGAACTGTTTGAAAAATGTGCATTAGGATATACTCCCCACTCCAAGCCCACAAAGCTAGGAGCACACACATTCCAGTACTTTCCAGGGCCAGGAGGCTCAGCAGGTGGCTGCCAGTCCTCCCCAAATCTCCCTGGTCAACAGGGCTGCTCAAGGGGAATTCAGCAGCTAGAGAGGCCAGGTTCAGGGTCTCTGGCTTCACATGGACTGCTGTGCCAGGCAGCTGAGCAGCTCTCACTTTTGCAGAGTGGTTCACCAGGCCGCAAAGTCAGATTCTGGAAGCTGGGAACCCACATCTCCAATCCAAGGTATTTTCTGGGTCTTCCCGCACCACCACCACCACCACCACCCTGCCGCTTCCTTCCCTCCATTTTTGATGGCCTGTTGCCTAGCTGCAGTGGCCACAGGCACATTCCCTTGGCCCCTGAGCCAGGGTCTGCTGAGTCACCAGCAAACCAGGTGTCTGGGGACAGGGCCTGGCAGGTTGTCAAATGCCCAATGGAGACGAAAGTTGCATACATCCATCAGAAACACCCATCAACTTTGTCATTCCCTTCCGTGTCCAAAGGGCCACAGGGTGTGTGAGCCCTGGGGCTGGCCAGCGGGTGGGCCAGTGAGATGTGTCTGCACATAGGACGTGTATTCTAGTCACACATTTGGGCTCTGCCCAGGCTCTGCTGCGCAGGATTGAGTGACCGGGTCAGCACTTCTCCACACCTCCAGGCACAGGGCAGGTTCTCAGTACACAGGAGCCTGCACCTTTGTGGTGGTAACGGTGAGGTGCCCCTTCTGGGTCCCATGGGTCTGTGGAGGGCTGTCCATGGCTTTTCCCAATAGTATCTAATAAGACTCTGACCTTGGTCAGACTCTGATGTAAATGCTCTCACCAGACATGAGGGGTCCCAGGTCTCTTGTTTGCCCTCCCAGAGGTGCTTACATATGAAAAGAGTCTAAAATCCCAGTGTGTGAGGGTTCACTGGGGCCCCAAGTGGGAGAGGTGCATGGAGGCAAGAGCTCTGCACCCCAGCATTCTATTCTGCCCACAGCTGGGAGGCAGCACTGCATGCTGGGAAGAGCCCTGACACAAGTGCTCTGTGACCTAGAGCCGACTGCTTACCTGTCTGAGCCCTAGTCTCTGTCTCCCCAGTGGGCATGACAATAGCTACTTCATGGGGTCATGGTGGGGGTGCAGGGTGAGCTACGTGAAGGCCCCCAGGGCCATGCCTGGCGCTTTCCAAGTGGCCCAAGGCTTGGGGCCCAGGCCCCACTTGTGTCTCCCGAACATCCTGGCCTGATCCTAACATCTCAGCCTCATGTGCTTTCTCTAGCTGGTGGGGAATTGGCTCCAAGATATGCTTCCCTTCCCCACAATGTCCCCCTATCCCATCAGCCCCAGGCTGCTATCAGTATTCCTAGGACCCTGCATGTATGTGGGTGTATGCATGCAGTGGTGGGGCTGGTTCCCCAGGGGTGGGGGGTGGAAGGGGTGAGGCTACAGTAGGGAAGAGCTCCTGGACCGGCCTCGATGGCAGGTGAACATCGTGTCCCCAACCCCCCAGTGGCAGCTTGTCCAGGGGATAAGGCTGCCAAAGGCCAAGGTGGGGGCTGTTTGCAGGGATTGAGGTGGGCTGGCTCTGCATCACTGTCCTTCCTCACCTCCCCACACTGCCCCCTCCCCAGACAAGATGTCCAGCAAAGGCTCCGTGGTTCTGGCCTACAGCGGCGGCCTGGATACCTCCTGTATTCTCGTATGGCTGAAGGAACAAGGCTATGATGTCATTGCCTACCTGGTAAGGAAGTGCTTGGTGTGTCCATCCTTCTACCTGTTTATCCTATTGCCCATGTGCTCACTGTCACTCACCTGGGCCCAGCTTCACCTCCCTAAGCCTGCCTTGAACTGAAGGCACATACTTGTCATTCTGCCTCCCTTTTTTCATCCATAAAATGAACATCCATGGTGTCCCCAGGTCTAGGATGCCCCCAGAGCACAGAGGAGGCCACCCTCACAGAGGGTGGCCAGAGCAGGGAAGGGGGGAACGCCAGAAATGAGCTTGGCAGTACAACTCAGGCGGCCTGCCTGCAAGGGACCATGGGCACGCTGAAGGCCATGGAAGATACACAGGCTTCCTGTTTCCAACAGTCCTTGTCAGCCCCCAATAATTCTGCAAAAAGTATAGAATCCTACAGTGGCTGAACTGGCAGAGCTTGGAGATCAACTAGTTCTAGGGTGGCAAATATGTCACAGGCATAGGTAATAGGTTGTGTATGATGCCATCCCCCCATGCTGGGGGTCCAGCAGACATCCCTGATCAAGCCAGCTCCATTTTTAATGATCTGGATGTAGCTTCTGAATGTTTCTCCACATATTCAGGACTCCTGAGTACAAATTCTAAAGATCTAACTCATACCAATTTAAGCAAAACAGACAAAAACAAGATCATTTTTGGCTTGTGTAACTGAGAAATTTGGGCTTTGACAGCTTCAGACAAGGCTGGATCCAGGTACTTATCTAGATCCATCTCCACTTCTATGTGGCTTCATTGTTTCCATGTCATTATAGCCTGGCTCTCCCAGAGCAAGGAGGGCTTCTTGCAGAGGCTCTGACAGGAGGGCCCAGGGGTCCTCTCATTGCCCAAGCCACTGCCCACCATGCATTGGTGACTATGGCTGTGTCATGAAGAGTTCTGATTGTCCGGGCTTGGATCTTGGGCCTTTCCCTACAGTGAGCAAGAGACATGATCTGCTCCCCTCCATTCCTATGGCAAAAGGGCCCAGAAGAGAAATTTCTGATCCCAGAGAAAGTGAGGATGATGCTTTGTAGAGATAAAAATTCAGCTGTTGCCAGAAGTGATTGGTTTGCAGCCCAGGCCACTTGTCACTCGGATAAGGAAGACTAAGGCCCAGGGAGGAGAAGTGTCTTGCTCACAGCCCCCTGGCAAGCAAGAGCCACAGCTTTGAGAGCATGCAGGCACCCCAGGGTATGTTCATCTTGCTGATGGCTGCACCGTGGGGCTGTCTGGAAGCCTGGCTACCACTAGGCAGATTTAAAAGCTGAATGACCTCAGAAAACACCTGCAATTGGGCTCTGGGAAGTTTCCAGAGTCTGGTGAGCAGAATGCAGAGTTGAAATCTGGGCAACAGGCCAGAGTGCAGCCAGCAGAAAACATGCTGGTGTCTGGAGAGGGGGCTATCACAGAAGTCAGACTCCCAAGAACAGGGATGGCCTCCTGCCTGCTCAGATGCCTTAGGAAGGTCAAGTCGCTATGCTTGGCTGCAGACATTACCTGGGGGCTGTACAGTTTCTGACATACCAGCCTCCTGAAAACTATCCCCTGCTGGCTTTGGGGGGTTTTCAGGAAGATATGGGTGCGTTTAAGGGAAGCCTGAGACCTTCAAGGCAATGACAGCAAATCCAGGTCCTGGTGGCAGAGTGCACAGGGCCACACCCACCTAGTTTTCCAACCCGTAGGAACCGCTTCCCTGCATACACAGGAAGCACCAAGTGGCAGTTCCTGGAAACATCCAGGCTTCTCCAGACCCCGCTTTGTGCCTCTCTCTTTCTTACTGTGACTTTGGCCCCTCAAATGGAAAGCACGTCCATTTGAGGGGTGCTGTAGACAGCTTTTGCCCCCACTCTTCTTTATGCCCCTGGGCTAATGAAGCCTCTCTGCTTCTGCTCAGGCGAACATCGGCCAGAAGGAAGACTTTGAGGAAGCCAGGAAGAAAGCACTGAAACTCGGGGCCAAAAAGGTACAAAAAGGAGACAGGATGTCAGATGGGATGAGAGTTTGACATGGTAGAAAAGCAGTGGGCATTGCTTCCCAAGGTTTCTTGTCCCCTGCAGCCCTGACCCTGAAGGAATGGTGTGAGAGGCCATCAGCCCACCTGCTTGGTCAGAACTGGTCCCCTCTGCGGGGCACTTCTGTGGGGTTCTCAGAACCTAAAAAAGGAGTAAGAGCTCAATTGGCACGTTAAAATGAGTGCATGCATCCCACATCATATCACTTGACCACGAGCCTAAAACTGGATATCCCTCCTTGGTCAGGAGTCTCCCCAAGTCTCTCAGAGAGGAGAGGAGTTGTCTGAGCAGGACCCCAGGAAATGGGATAAGAACATCTGAGTGTTGAAAATGAGTTGGGCTTTCGTGTAAAGATTTGACCTTAGTTCATTACTCTAGATCAGCAATTCTCAACCTTGTGCTCTAAGGCTCCCATACACTTTTACATATTTGTTTGGAATTGGAATTGGAGTTTCTTACCCATACCATCAGGGAATAGTCCCTGTTGCTTTTCTTTGATTTTCATTTTCTTTCATTCTTGGCTTCATTTAAAAAGAAACTTATTTTAAAATAATTATAGGCTCACGGGAAGTTGCAAAAATAATACAAAGAATCTTGTGACCCCTTTACATTCTTGAAAATTACTGAATGCCCTGTAGAGTTTTGTGGATTATGTCTATCGAGATCATTGCAGTATAAATAAAAGCTGAAATTTTAAAAATATTAACCCATTTTAAAAGAACAATGTTAAACCCATCATATGTTAACGTAAGTGACATTTTTACCTCAAAAAAATAACTATTTCCAAAACAAGAATTTTTGGTAAAAGTAGCATTGTGTGTGTAACATTTTTATAGATCTTTCATGTCTGGTTTAACAGAAGATATGGATCCTTTCCATTGTGTCTCCATTCCTTTTGTCATGTGTTGATTTGGATGATGTTAGGAAAAAACATGGCCGCATGAATCTAGCACTAGAAGAGAGAGGAATATTGTGGGTTTTTTAAAAAGATTTATTTATTTATTTTAGAGAGAGAGAGCATATGGCAGGGTGGGCAGATGAGAGAGAGATGGGGGAGAGAGAAAATCTCAAGCAGATTCCCCACTGAGCAGATAACTCAACATGGGGCTTGATCATGACCTGAGCCAAAACCAAGAGCTGGACACTCAACTGACTGAGCCACCCAGGCACCCCACGAGAGGAATATTTTAATGGCCTTTTCAGAGAGTTGGGGAAATCTTTAATACTGCACCAAAAGTCAACAAGGAGTGGTTTCTTAAAGATTAGTGCAATGGGGAAACTGAAACTGTACAATGAATTTTTCATGCATTGAAATCCCCTGGCAAGAAAGAAAAGAAAAGAAAGAAAAGAAAAGAAAAGAAAAGAAAAGAAAGAAAGAAAGAAAGAAAGAAAGAAAGAAAGAAAGAAAGAAAGAAAGAAAGAAAGGAATCCCCTGGTCCATCCTGCACTTTGGATTTTTTCACCATGCAAGATTGTGTATGACATCATGCATTCATTTGAAAACTATTGTTTCATCAAGTTATGCAGATCTTCCAACTATTGATGTATTCCATTATAAAATATCAAAACACCACATTTGTCAGTCTCACCACTACTCATCGAGATATTAGGAAGCTGTCAGATACAAACTGTCCATAAATTTTTACTGGCAAGCCTGAATTTTATCAACTGGCCACAAATACTCCGTTTCCCTGGAGTGGCAAGGTCACCTCATTTTTGTGAAACTGCTGGCCAAACATTCAAGTCTGAAAGACCATATTTAGTAAAAACGAGGTTCTATGAAAAAAAAAGTGGCTAGTTCAGCTTGTAACTTGCTTTGGAGTGCAACAGAAATGCTTTGCGTGGATTTCACCTTTTGTGCTTGAGATTCAACAAAAGTCATCATTTTTACGGCTTCAAGACCCTTCTCAAGTGAAATAGTCACTGTGGAAAGAAGGCATTAGGAACACAGTGGTGGTGTCTTTGCCCTGATTCCCTGATTTGTGCTGAGTCGCCAGCTCCTGCACCCATCATTGCTTTTGCAAATCTGATGTGAATGTCAGCCTAGTGAAAAAGGTAAATAACACCTTAGTATCATAAAAAATCTTTTTGCTTAGTCTCCCCAAAAAGGTCTTGAGGACGTCCAGAGGTCTACATTTTGAGAACCGTCCTTCGAGATCAGGATTTCTCGAACCTTGGCACTACTGGTGTGTGTGGCTGGCTGTTCTGAGCATTGTGGGATATTTAGCGGCATCCTTGGCCTTTATCCATGAGACACCAGAACCCTTCTCTCCCCAACCCACCAGCTGTGACAACCAAAAATGTCTCCAGATATTGCCACTGCCCCTGGGGACAAAATCATGCCCGGTTGTGAGCTTTTGTGGATTACTATCTACTATCTACTGCTCTAGATCTTAAGTGACAACAAGTTTCACCTGGGGCCCAGAATGCTGTGCTGGGAGGGACTTAAGGACCATATCCATGGGATCCCTGGGTGGCGCAGCGGTTCGGCGCCTGCCTTTGGCCCAGGGCGCGATCCTGGAGACCCGGGATCGAATCCCACATCGGACTCCCGGTGCATGGAGCCTGCTTCTCCCTCTGCCTATGTCTCCGCCTCTCTCTCTCTCTCTCTCTGTGACTATCATAAATAAATAAAATAAAATAAGGACCATATCCATTTTTAGCTAGATGGTGTATCAGGATTGATTAGTGATGTCTGTCATGAGTACCTGAATGAAGTAACAGTACTGTATGCTTGGATTGATTAATGATGTCTACTACAGATAAAGAAGGAAAAGTGGAGGCATGTCTTGCCAAGATCCATTAGTAGTGTCTGCCATAGATGCAGGCCACCGGAGGCCCCCGGGGCTCTGTCTTCTGTCTGGGCCTCATCCTTGCCAAGCCTCCCTTCCACGGGCTCCTCTCCCTGCAGGTGTTCATTGAGGACGTCAGCAAGGAGTTTGTAGAGGAGTTCATCTGGCCAGCCATCCAGTCCAGTGCACTGTACGAGGACCGCTACCTCCTGGGCACCTCCCTCGCCAGGCCCTGCATCGCCCGCAAACAAGTGGAGATTGCCCAGAGGGAGGGAGCCAAGTATGTGTCTCATGGTGCCACAGGAAAGGTGAGGCAATGGATGGACAGTGCTGGGGGGGCGGGCAGGGCAGAGGGAGGGGGGACAGGGGAAAGTCTGTGAACGCCCTTGGGCAGTTGCGAGTTTAGCCCTCTGGAGATTCTGGCATGCAGCAGACAGGCGGTCTGTCGGGTCTGAGTGGGAGGAATGGCATTCGCAAGGGCGGGTATGGGGGGGTGGTAACGGCTTCCTGCTGCAGGTTCCACGCGTGCCCTGCCAGGAGCAGTTTAGCAGACTTGACATTGCCGCTGGCCCAGGTCCCAGAGCACACAGGTCACCAGGCAATGCAGTGGAAAGGGTCAGAAACCCTGAGCTGGCAAAGTGGACTGGGTCCCGGCTGTGTGGTTTTTGGGGAGGCCCTTCCCCTCCCCAAGCCTTGGGTTCTTCATCTGCAAAATGGGCGTGTGTGTGGGGGGGGAGAGGACCCTGTCTTCACTTGTCAGGACTGCCCCGCTGTGGCACCACAGACCTCGGTGTGGGTTGGGCTGTGCTCCCTCCGAAGGGTCTGGGAAGGCTTCATCCCAAGGGTCTGGGAAGGCTTCTACCCCTTGTAGATGCAGCACTCTGATGGGCCCTGTGCACCTGGCTGTCCTCTCTCCATGCATCGGCCCTCACTGCCTTCTGGGAGGATCCAGTTCTGTGTCCAAATTCCTCCCTTTTATAAGAACACCAGTCATATGGGGGATGGGGCCCATCCTAATGGCCTCAGCCCAACTTCATCACCTCTGTGAAGACCCTATTTCCAAAAGAGGTCACACTCTCAGGTATGGTAAGCTGGGGCTTCAACTTATCTTTTGTGGGGACCAGAACTCAATCCATGACTCACCCCCCAACCTCTAGCCCTTGTATGGACAGGGCAGACTGAGGGAGGGACGAGGCAGGAGAGCCCTCAGCATGCTATCCCCCAGGGTGCCATGCTCCAGAAACAAGATTCCCATGTTGGCAACTCTCAGGCAATGCTATTATATAAAGACTGTAGTCACGGGCTCTCCACGGTCCTGGACACCAAGCCAACAACCTGGCACAGGACTTGGCTCCCTGACAACCCCACTGTCAGCAGACTCTGCACCTCCCAGGGACAGAGAGCTCACTACCTTACCCACACACTCACTAACCTGACCCAGGCCCCACTACTACCCAGGCTGGTCGGGCAGTGGGATGGGGGTGGGGAGGAGCAGGCTCTGGCTCACCATGATGTAGGGACATTGGCAGCCTAGATTAAGACAGAGGAGATGTGACTGGAGGGTGACCTTGCAAAGCAGAGTGGCACTGGTTCATGTCTTTGAAAGCTCATGCATGCATTCATTCACTTGGGTACTAGGTCAGCAAGCTTCTACTGGGCCTCTAGACAGAATTGGACATGAGCTGGGTCAGGCCCACAGCGCCAAACTTCCTGTCCTCAGGGAGAGGAGAATGGACATGTGATAAAGTGGCTGTAGGGGCAATGCCTGGGAGCCGTGGGTGCAGCAAGCAGAGAAGGGAGGGCTAATCTACAGACATTGGCCCTGCAGGATGAGCATGGGGGAATGAGTGATGGGTGTGGCAAGAGTGTGCCCAGCAGAGGGATCCAACTGTGCAAAGACTTGGAGCAAGAAGCCCAGACAACAGCCTGCCTGGGAGCACGGAGCCAGAGCCAGCAGGGTCAGGGCTGGGCTGTGGCCTCACCACAGGGTTGGCTTCCTTCGGAAAGCAAGAGATTAGGAGGCGCCAGAGCACCCCAGGCTGCATGGGGGGTGGCCAGCAACTCCCCTGTGGTGTGTTGGGGATTGTTCTGGATGAAATGGTGGGCTGTTGTAGAAGAAAGGAATGGTGAGAGTTTCTCCCCCAGACCTGTGACCCTAGCACTCACTGGCAGCCCAGTCGTGAGTGCATTTTGAGCAGGATGACAGACCAGGGCTGTTTGGACAGGGATGTATCTTCACCTTCCACTTCAAGGCTGTAGGACAGGGTGTAGGAGAACCCAGCGGTTCAGGATTTGGGGCTTCGAGTCCGCACAGTTGTGTTCCGATCCTGGGACCCTGCACTCAGTCTGTGTGACTTCACCCCCATGAGTCTTCATTTCCTTGTCTGTAAAATGAGAACAAAGTAGAAATAGACCATGGGGCAGCTGGGAGCAACGTAGTAGGATCATTCCACAAGTGCTCCGCATGGCTCTGGCATGCAGGGAATGCTCGATTCACTCGAAACTGCAAGGAGAGTGCCCTGGTCATCTGATTATCGGTCATGTGCTGGGGGCTCTGCGGGCAGAGGAAGGTCAGTGAGAATGAGCATCAGTGCAGAATAAAGAAGCTTCCGAGCCTCATCTGCCCATACTGAGATGAGCTGAGCAGTGAGCTCCCCATGGCGGGGTGGGGGGTGGGGTGGGGGTGTGTGTTTAAGCTGAAGCCAGATCTGGATCCAGAGGGGCTCCTGCCCAGAGAGGGTCCCTTCCATGGTACCTTCAGGACTGAGAATGGGTGGCATTCAGGGCTGGTGGGGTGAATGTGTGTGTGTGTGGTGGATCTAGCCCTGGGTTGGGAGATTCAAGGGTCTGGGGAGACTCCCCCCCCCACTAGCCCTCCCAGGCTGCAAGACCTGCAGCTGTGTGCGCTGCTCCCTTTCACCACAAGAGGACACTAGAGGCTTGAATTTGAGGCCTTTGGCTGCTGAAAAGGCCTTTGGTAGCTGGAAAAGCTACCTCCCCTCTCCCCCCAGGCTCCAGTTCTGGAAAGAACATCCTCTCCAGAGGTTCTGTGGCCTCAAGACTAGAGGTTGGAAGGCCATGGGAGAGGAGGGAAGGGAAGTGGCACAGCACTACCCTGGATCTGCCATCTCTTTTGGGGGTTGATGAGCAAAGCATACTCTTGTGCCTTAGTTTCCCTTATTTGCAGAACCTGGGAAGCCCCCCAAAACCTCTGAAGATAATTCCTAGAACTGAGGGCTGTGAATAGGGAGAACCAGGAAAGCCTGGAGTGGGGTCCAGAGAAATGCAAAGTTTTGAGAGAGGAAGATGGTGGGGAGGGGCCAGCAGCCTGCCCCGCAGCCTGGTTGTGTGTGTGGGGGGGGGGGCACCAGTGACTTTACATTTCAGGAGGCGGGCTTCAGGAGCCAGGGAATGAGGCTCCTGGCCCTGGACCACATGGAGTGGGGTGGGACTGACAAGCCCAGAAAGATGCCAGAAGGACACTTGGCAGTTTTTGTTGTTTTTTTTTTTTTTTTTCCAAGAGCAATTTGTGCTTTTATTTATTTTTTTTAATTTTTTAATTTATTTTATTTATTTATTCATGAGAGATACAGAGAGAGAGAGAGGGAGGCAGAGACACAGGCAGAGGGAGAAGCAGGCTCCATGCCAGGAGCCCAACGTGGGACTTGATCCTGGGTCTCCAGGATGACGCCCTGGGCTGAAGGTGGTACCAAACCGCTGAGCCCCCCCCCCCCCAGGGATCCCCTTTAATTTTTTTTTAATTGGAGTTTAATTTGCCAACATATAGCATAACACCCAGTGCCTGTCCCGCCAAGTTTTTTTTGCAAGGGGTTCACAATGCAGAGGAAGCTGGGGCATTAGCAGATGGCAGGGGCTCCCCCACCCCCACCCCGGCCCAGGTGGAGGAGATTGCAGCACGGCCAGTCCTGCAACTGCGGCCATCAGGGAAACTCAGCCACTGGCCTCTCCCAGCTCCTGACTCCTGAGTCACCCGTAGAGGAAACTAGAGCTTCGGGGGTCCTTGTTCCAGCCTACCAGACATTGCATCAGGCATGTGTTCATTCACTCCCCGAATATTCATCCATGCTGGCCCTCCTCCGTGTGTGGGGTCACTGCTACAGGATGGGCTAAGGGAGACAGCCAGGGACTTAGGAGCCCGAACCCAGCAGAGGGTGGAACGCAGGGGAAGGATGAGTTAGCCTGTGACACCAAGGGGGAAGGGCACCCCCAGGCTGCAGGAACAGCCCTTGCAAAGTCCTGGAGGTGAGAAGCAGCTTCCCTCTCAGGGCCCAGCCCAGCAGCACCTGGTACGAAGCTGGAGCTGGGGTCCACCTTTCATGCCCCACCCTGTTCTTCCCCTCCAGATTTGGAAGAAGGGCCTGGAAATATGAGCCAGACTCGCGCAGGGGTATGGGGAGCAGTTTTGTAAATGGCACCATCTGTATGGTTAGCCCTTGAACAGATGGGCAGACCCCCACCCCCGCAGTCCCTCCAGTCCCCGTGGGCACTGCACCCACGTCCACACGCCTGCACGTGTATCAGCACGTGGACACACATGGTGTGCAGGATAGCTGTACCCCCACACACACCCTCCCACTCTGGGGAGCTGCCGGGAGCTGCCCTGGTGCAGAGGTCCTGGGGTTAGGGGGAGGAAGGACCGGACCAACTTCAGCTCTTAATCTGGAACAGAGTTTGAGCCAAAGGAGCCTATTTGGCTTCTGGGAGGGTCTCTGACTCTGGAACAGATGGGTGTCCCCATGTGGGTCTGGATGGGCAGACACCAGCCCAGCACGCCTGTCCAGGGAGGCACGAGCTGCCATTGTACTGGGGACACATGAAGCCGTAGGGGGAGAAAACATCACCGGGATGTGCAATACCACCATGTGCTTTACGAATCTGAAATGAATCTACCTTTTATTAGAGCTGCCACTGCTCCAGTAACTGTGCTGGCCACAGGTCCTTGGGCTGGGATTCCCGCCTGTGCCTCAGTGGCCCCATTTTTACAGTGGGGATAACAGTAGAACCTACTTCTAAGGGCGGCCTTAGGCCCTGAGGATTTTTGCGGGGTTTTTTTTGTTTTGTCGTTTTTTTTTTTTTAAGGATGCTTCCTTTTGTTTTTATTTTTTTTTAAAGATTTTATTTATTTATTCATAGAGGCACAGAGAGAGAGAGAGAGGCAGAGACACAGGCAGAGGGAGAAGCAGGCTCCATGCCAGGAGCCTGATAGGGGGACTCAATCCCAGGACCCTGGGATCACACTCTGAACCAAAGGTAGATGCTCAACTGCTGAACCACCCAGGTGTCCCGGCCGAGAAGATTCAGTGGGTTTAAGTCTGGAGCTCAGGCCAGTCACCTGAATGTGCGCTGTTAGGATGGAAATGTCTGTGGACTGTGTGACCCCGGGGAGGTGGCATCGCTTCTCTGAGCCTCACTTGCATCAACAGTGGTGGTGGCAGCAGAGCAGGGGTCCGTTCCCCCGCTGGCCCCCAGTGGCTCTCCCCTGTGACACTGGGTGCTCAGGACAGGGCTGGGGAGGGGAGTGGGGTGACAGGTCTGGCGCAGCTCACGCCCCCACCCCCCCCACCCTGAGAGGCTCGCGAGGCTCCTGGCTCCTGGGTGGGCGGCGAGAGGGGCTGGGGCCTGCATTTCTGTGCCGCCTGACAAGACTCTGGAAAATAACATGTCATTCTCGCCGCCGCCTCGCTGGGCCCATGCAGTTTTCACAGTAGGCGAAAGGTCCCTCTGTTATTTCCGCAGCTTCAGTCCCCTCTCCGGGCGCCGAGCTGATGGCAAGCAGGCAGGACACGGGCAGGACGCTGGCAGCCCCGGCGTCTGCGGCCTCCTCTTCCTCCTCCCCGTCATCGGCCCAGGCTCAGACGAGTCTTCCTCTGGCAGCAAAGGATATGGGAGCCAGGAGGCAGGGCAGCCGTTGCTGGGGCGGAGGGTGTGGGGGCGCCCGGGCTCTGGGCCCTGGGACCGTCTCTTCTGTTGGACCTCGGTGTCCAGAGCCAGGCAGCCAAGGCCCCTCCGCAGTCACCTGGTTCCATCCGCTCCCTGCCAATCAGCTACTGTACACATGGGAGACTGAGCCTCACAGAGGCCACAGGAGTCCCAGTTCTGTGGATATGAGGCCTGATCCCAGACTCAATCTCTGGATTAGGGCAGATGGGGCCAGGCGGGGAGAGAAACTTCAGGAAGAGGCTGAGGTGCCAGCAGCTGGGGGCCACCTAGAGAAGGACTGAGGTCCTGGCAGGGCCAGACCTCCAGCCTGGCACACACGCATGCAGCCCCCAAAGTGCACACATGCATGACGACACGTGTACCTGTCCTGCCACGTTCCCAAACACACACATCCCCATCCTGCCATGTGCCTGGCACATGGGCATCCTGTCCTGCATACCTGCACACCCACCCTACTCTGCTCTGTGTTCAGGGAGTCCTGGATTCCCATCCTGACTCCACCTGAAGGCAGGAGCTGGGGTTTCCTCTCTGACAAAGACCAACATTCATCTTTAAAACAGGCCAATAGTAGTACCCACCTCAGAGGGTTTCAGGGTCGGAGGTGAGAAGAGAACCATCCAGTGGGCCTGCCCTGAGCAGCCCTCTGGGGGGTTGTCAGCAGTAGTGAAGGCTCCTGACAATGCCTTGTCTCATATTTCAGGGAAATGACCAGGTCCGATTTGAGCTCACCTGCTACTCACTGGCCCCTCAGATTAAGGTAAGATGCTGCTCCTCCCCTTGGGGTGGGTGGTGGGGGCTAATGTCTCTGGGTGGAGGGTGCAGGGTATGGAGTTCTGGGAATTTTTATGGACAGGGACAGAATGCTCCTGAGTCTCCAGGAGGGGGATGGGGGCATCTCTTTCTCCTGGAGAGACCGCATGCTCATGCCAGATACAGGGGCACAGCACTCTGACCATTAGCCCAGGGGCCAGGTAGGTGGGGGCATTGGACAGAAAGATGTGGCCTGGCCCTTTGGCCAGTGCCTTCGGTGTTCTCAGATCTTCTTTCGTGGGGGCAGGCTGGAACAGTTCTGGGTCATTACAGGCCTGTTTCTGGGGTGCTCACAGCCCACTCAACCCTGGTCAGGGCCACCTGGCTAAGGCCCTGGCTCTGCTCTGGCTACCTGACCCCTAGCATCCTGGATCCCTTTCCTGGAGTGGAAATCACCAGAGTCTGGGGGAATCAACCGCCAGGCCTGAATCAATCAACAGGCCTGAGAGTGCATGGCAGGACTGTCCAGCTGCCCACTGCTACCCCTGCCTCCTCCAACCTGACCTGGGACCTGGGCTTGTGTCCATCTGTCCTTCCTTCCTTCCTTCCTTCCTTCCTTCCTTCCTTCCTTCCTTCCTCCCGTGTCTACCAGGCTCCAGGCATATGGAGCTGTACTGCACTACCAATGTGAGCCCTATGTGGAATTTAAATTTTTCTAGTGACCATGTTAACACAAACAAACAAAAAACAAGATGAAAAGCAACAGGTGACATCATTTTAATAATATATTTCACTGAACCCCGTGTACCCAAATGGTACCATTCAGCCTGTCATTCATGCAAAAACACTATTCATGACTTGTTCTCCATCTTTTGTACTAAGTCTTCAAGATCCCTGTATGCTTTGCATTGGCGGCACATCTGAGTGGGGACCGGCCACGTTTCAGGTCTCAGTGGCCATACGTGGCTTCCAGGTACCAAATTGGACATCACAGGCCTAGGTCTGGACCCCTTAGAGGTCACTTCAGGCTAAGGCTGAAGAAGATGTGCCTCTTCCTAAGCTCTGAGAGGGCCCTAAGGGGTTCCTTTTTTTCTTTCTTTTTTTAAGTGGAACACCTTTCTCTGTCCCTTTAACCAGCCAGCAGCTGCTTGCTGGGTGGGAGTGGCCTGGAGGTAATGAGCTCTAATGATCTTTTCTGACCCCAAACACTGGGCAGCTAAGAAGTCCTTGAGGTAGCTGCTTGCTAGCTCGCTGCAGGCCTGTGGCCATAGGGGCTTTCTCCTGACCCCCACTCTCTGGGGTCCCACAGCAGCTGGGGGGAGCCTGGTGTCTGGTTTCTGAATCTCTGTCTGCAGAGGCCAAGCCAGGGGACTGGGGGTAGGGGCTAAAGCTGGTCTCTGGGAGCTAAGATGAGGCCAGAGGGTGCTCCCAGGGCCAGGCTTGCCCCAGGGGCTGTTCATTCTAAGGCCGAGACCCCAGAAAAGCTTACCATCAGAGGTAGGGGCCTGGCTGGGTCCAGCGCTGGGTGGGGGCTCTTCTTGGGGACCTGCCCTTACACCTCCAGGCTGGCACCCAGAGCAGCTCTGGTGAGCAGAAGGAGGGAAAGCAAGAGAAACAGGATGGGATCGCTGTATGTTGTCTGTGGGCCACTGTCCCGGAGAGGGCCTGGCTGGGCTTCCGCAGCAGTGTGAACCCTGCCTGAGTCACCAAGGGGTGGGGTCAGGCGTACTAGTCCTCTGCCCAGGGGCACTAGCGAGAAATGTGAGGCCCATCTAGTTCAAACCCTCAAATCTCAGACAGACGGAAGCCCAGAAGGGCAGGGACCCCACCGGGAGACACAAGGCCATTCTGCCGTGGAGCCCGGGCCTCTACAAAGCCACCCCCAGTGTAGCAGGTCCTGTCCTTCCCCTGCCTGATGGGGCACCTCTGCCCACCCCACATGGACTATGTCCTCTTTGGGGAGGAGGCAGCAGGAGACTCTAGGTGAGCATTGGGGGTCCCGGGGCCCCGTAATAGAGAGGCCGGCTCTGAGGCTGAAGGGCCAGCAGAAGCCAACATCCGGGCTCTCCCACGTCTGACTCCTTGCCCTGTGCCCAGGTCATCGCTCCCTGGAGGATGCCCGAGTTCTACAACCGGTTCCAGGGCCGCAATGATCTGATGGAATATGCAAAGGTATGGCTGAGTCTCCCCTCACGCCCCCAGCCCTTGCCTACTGCCCCCTCCTGGGGGGCATAACCCTCTCAGGGGGGCTGCCTAGACCAGCAGCAGACCATTCTGGGGGCACCGAGTCTCTGCCCCAGCTAACCCCTGTGGCCGCTGTCCCCAGGGCCAGGCCCACAGAGGTGTGGTCACTGCCTGGGCCGGGAGTCTCCATGGAGAGTCCTCAGTCTGCCAAGTCCGATGGTGACAGGCACCCTCTGCCTCCCGTTCTCCTGCCACCTCCATGGGAGGTGTGAGTGAGAGGTTCTCTGGCCCACAGTTACCTGGCTGCTCATTGTCCCGGTGCTTTGCCAGGAACAGGTAGGCACTCCGAGGGGCAGTGGCAGACAAAGGCTTTTGTCGAGCCAGCCCTTTTGAAGTACAAGTTGCAATAAAACATATTAGAAGTTTTGCATCAAGATCCTTAGCCGCTCCCCGGGGTACCTTTCTTTTTAGCGACTCGATGGCAGCCCTTGACAAACAGCCTCAATCAATCAGACGGGGAAAAGCAACTCAGTGCACACACCAGAAAATTGCTCAGGTTTTAAATAGCAGTCACCGGGGCTGGCTGTGAGCTCTTGCTGCAGTCAAGGTGCTGCGTGGTAGGGGACTCGGCAGGGACACAGCCCTGCCCCTGCCGCCAGCATCCCATTAAGACCTGGAGGGCTTGGAGGAAAGATCTCCTGTACCATCTGTTGTTTTATTATTAAGAGGGGAGTTTACAAGAGCAAGCCCATATGTTGCCAAACAAATTGTCAAATAGCAGAGCTATTAAGAGAACCGAGGTTGACGAGGCTTCCCACCCCCCTTCGTCTTCTTGATATAGAATATGGAGCACGTTTCATCTTTAAGAATAATGAATTGGAACCCCCGCCCCGTCTCCATTCTCACAACAGCAGTCCCAGTTCAAGAGAGGGCCAGGGTGACCCGTGCCTTGCCCTGCATTTCCGTTAAGCCCCACACAAAAGCAGCTCCTGGTTTTCCCAGTGAAGATGATTTTCAGGAGTGTTGTCACTCCTTCCCAGATTTTGGGGAGAAGCCCCTTCACAAAGCTTCTGTCCTCAATAACCTTTGAACAGGAAAGCATGTCAAGGAGAGCTGAGTCTGGGCCCCCCACCCCCACCCCCAGGCCCTGGAGCCTCCCTGGGAGGCTGGCATCTGCCTTGAGCTCTGGGGAATCTGAGCACATTCTAGGAGGGAGGCCGCGTTTCTGCACCCAGGAAATGACCAGAATAACTGAGCAGCAAACGGGCTTTGTCCAAAATGCAGAGCCAGGCAGCTGATTCAGCTGAGACAAAAATCAATGGCGCTTTGAAAATCCCTGCTTTCAAGACCGATAAGTTGCCAAGGCCAAAAGGTGCGGCAGGAGACCCACAAACACACATTCACTCCACTTTCTGCACCGCCCCCCACCCCCACCCCAGTCATCATCCTGTCGTTAGCATCGTCACCGTAATTAATTTCTTTTAAAAAGCCAGCGTACTAGGTAAGGGCTGGAAAGCAGGCCAGTCACCTCTGTGCTGTCGTGGAAAATGGTTTTGTTTTTGTTTTTGTTTTTTAAAGATTTTATTTATTTCTTCATGAGAAACACAGAGTGGAGAGAGAGAGGCAGAGACACAGGCAGAGGGAAAAGCAGGCTCCATGCGGGAGCCTGACATGGGACTCGATCCTGGGTCTCTAGGATCACACCCTGGGCTGGAGGCGGCGCCAAACCACTGAACCACCACCCAGGCTGCCCAATGGTTTTGTTTTTTGTCCTCAAGTGCAGCGAGAGTTCCTTGGGTGGGTGGCAGGGGATTGGGGGAGCAGCGGACACCTAAGACTAGAAAGGGGAGGGGAAACCGAAATCTCTTTGGTCAAGGGACTGCCGTTTTTGGCATATGTGTGTGTCTCTGCCTGCTGAGGAGGGATTGCCTATCCTGTCCTGCCCACTTTCCCTCCCTTTTTCATTTTCTTGCTCCCACCACAACCACGGAGGCCCAGTGGGGAAGAAGGCAAACGTGTTTCCAAACCCCTTCCCAAGACAAAGGCTGCAGGGAACCCATCTGCTGACTTTCTCGGCCCCCAGACCGCAATTCCAGCTTTTGTGCAGGGGTCCCTGGTCCTCTCACACCTGGCCTATTCTACGTGGATGGAGGGGGGGCGGGGCTGGCATGTGCCTTGGATGCTCAGCAACTTTGAGGAGCGGGATGAGCCGTCTCTAAATGAGATGCTCCTGTTGGCCCATTGTGATTTAAATTGAAGAGTACACAAATCCTAGAATAGATATGGACCATGTCTTTTAAAGCAATTCCCCTGGCAAAGCTTGAAAGAAACACCTGGAAGGTTTTAGCTCCATTTATTTTGAAACTTTAGGGTGGTGATAAAGGAAACAAAGTGGGTTCCTGGAGGAGGCTGGAATCCTACCGTAGTGGGAATGAGCACAGACTAGGGGGGCCCCATCAGGGGAGATGGGATGATGCAGGAGGGGGCTACAGGGACCAGCCAGGGCTGGCCAGGTTCTAGGACCACAGTGTGGCGGGGTGGGGGGGGTGGGTGCGGAAGGTGCTAAGAGGGGCTGGGGAAGCAAAGCTTCAGGTCTCACTGCCTTACAGGGGCCTGGCTGGGCCACTTAGCTGTCTCTGTGCTCCATGGGCAAGGAGAGGGGAAAGCAGAATGTATTGAGTGTGTTGGATTCCCACCAGGTGTTAGCCAAGGCAGTGTGGAGTGGCAAAGGGATCAGCCTCATCCTTAGTCCAAAAGGCTGAGATGGGTCTTCAGACCCACGGTGTTGGTTGGGATGAGTTTTCTCCTTGAACAATGGATCAAACCATCTGGGAAGCAAAACAACCAAAGGGGAGGATGGAGAGGGTTGAGATGGACCTGGGATGTTCTTTTCAGGGTCACAGAGTGATGTCTGTGGTGATTGTGCTAGGCAAGGGGAGAGGGGTGGCTCCCAGAAAGTGCCAGGCAGGTACCGTAAACAAGTGCCATGAGCTAGAAGCCGCTTCCTTGGGGCAACATTAAGTGCTGTGTGGGCACAGATGCCTTGGTTGAGGTCTACGGTGGAAGTTCAGACCCTTCCTGCGCCCAGCAGAGGTCAGCAAGTGGGAAACCTCTGGCACACTGCCCGGCACACTCTAGTGCTTCAGGGCCTGTGAAATATATAGACTCAGAGACTCTTCTGGAAGGAACCTCCAAGGTCAGCATCCTCTCCATGACATCTCAGACACACGGTCTTGTTTCTGCATGGGCATGTCCAGTAACGGGGCCCTCACTCGTTCCCCAGGCAGTGGGGCCGGGTTGGCGATGGGGCACGCGTGGGGGGCAGGGGATGGTGATTGGGGAGGAGATGGACACCAGAGGGTGGCGCTGGGTCTTGCCTGCATGAGGACCAGAGTTTGGGGATGTGTGCAGCCCTGAAAGAAAACCAGGGCAGCTGGGCCTGACCCTCAGGCCAACTGCAAGCTGCCTCACGCCTGCCCCGTGTCCCGTCTTACCCGCAGCAACACGGAATCCCCATTCCAGTCACCCCCAAGAATCCATGGAGCATGGATGAGAACCTCATGCATATCAGGTAAGCCACACATCCCACCTGTGAGCTGCCCTGCCCCACATCAGGGAGCACCTGCCTTCACAGGGCAGATGTAGCCTCAGTGGTGGTCCCCGCCCCCCTCCCTCCTACCCAGTACTCTTGGGGCTCACTCCCAGGCTCATGGGGCTAGATAATAGGCATCTGGCCTCAGCTGGGGTGTTGGGGTGGGCTCCTCTAAGGAAGTGGCATTTGAGGTGAAAACTTCAAGAATGAGAAGGAACTGACTGGCCGAGGTGCATGGGAAAGTGTGTTTAAAGCAGAGAGAACAGCAGTGTGTGAAGTCGTGCCCCGCCCCGCCCCGCAGATGCAAAGCCCGGGGCTATGCCCCAGAAGACTAAGGGAAATGTCCCAGCTCTTTCTTGCAACCTGCAGCTCCCACAGCCAACTGCGGTCAGCCCAGAATGTTCCAGACAGGGTTGGCAGCAGTTGCTTTGGCAGAGAAAGAAGGGCAGAGCAGATTTGTTGGGGGGGAGGGGGTCCTCCCTGCCCGCCTCCCCACCTGATTTCCTGTCTTCTCTTCCCTTTTCCCTCATAGCTATGAGGCTGGAATCCTGGAGAACCCCAAGGTAATACCATCCCCACCACCACCACCACCCCCCACCCCTGGCCTCCCCAGTTTCCTGTGAACCGGCTGCCGGTCTTTGGTGGTAGCTGCTCCGTGCCGATGCTGTCTGATGTGATTGTAGCCTAATTTGAAATTTCACGGGGGCCGGGTGTGGGCCTGGGGCCGAGCCCTGCCTGCATCCAGATCCTCCCCACTGGGGCCCCCCTCCGCATGCCTGCTCCATGCTGCTGCTCCGTTTTGAGACACCCCCCACCCCCAGCACTCTTTTTCTAATTGCTGCTGGGATGAATAGGGTAAGGAAATATTTCAGGGCAGCATGGAGAGAGTGTGTGATTGTAAGACAATAAAGAAGCAATTAGGCAGATGAGACACTTGTGGGAGGGCCCGGCCTGTGCCCACCAGCTCTCAGGCCACCGCTGCTGCTGCTGCTGCTGCTGCTGCTGCTGCTGCTGCTGCTGCAATGGGGTCGGTGTGGGGAGTGGGGGTGGCACAGATTAGAGCCTCAGGACCCATTTGTCCGGGTTTGTGCTCCACACCCGCCCAGGCAGGACGCCCTGATCCCCTGTCCCCAGCCTCCTAGACTGGCCAGCCTGGGCCTCGGCCCTGTTTAAAGTTTAGGATTTCTATCCCTGGGGGGGTTTCCCTTTGTATGTCCCCCTGCAACCGTGGGAGATGGGGTGGAGGGTGGCAGGATGAAATCTATCCTGGGAAGAGAAAAATCTCTTTGTCCCTAAGGGAATGTGTCTCTGTTCCCTGGCTCAGCCCCACACTGGGGCGGGGGTTTGAGGGTGGGGTGGGCTGCTTGTCTGACGTTAGGGAAGAAGTGTGCTGTGAGGGGGTTGCTTGGGCAGCTGGGCCTGGGGGAATCCAAGAAGGCCAGCTGGAGGGGAGGATGCCCTGGTGGTGTTGGTGAGGGTGGGAGAGCTAGAGCTCTACCGGGGTTCCTGGGATGGCTCCCAGAGGGGACCAGGCCTCCCAGTCAGTGTGGGTAATGATATAACCAGGACCAGCGACCGGTTCTGGAGCCAGGCCTGGGTTTAGCATTTTCTTGGCTTACTTTCCTTGGCTCCTCTCTGTATGCATCCTCATTTTATGGGCGAGGAAACCGAGAAACCAAACCAAGGCCCAGAGAAGTGACTCAGCCCCAGGGCGCCCCACCTCTCGGGAGCTGGCCCTCCTGCCTCTGTGGTTCCCCCATGGCCCGCCCCCACCCGCACTCCACTCTGCCCAACCATGTCACTCAAGAGAGCCCGCACCCTTGCCCCCTGGGGGCTGATGGCCCCACAGGGCTGCTGCCTGCTGGCCACAGGTTTTTCCAGTTCATGCTCTGCTGACCCCATGACACTCAGGCCAGCCACCCCTAATTAGCCAGTCAGTCAGCGCCAAGGGGGGTGGGGGGAGGCTAAGCCCAGCAAAGGCAGAGCTGCGCACAGGCAGGCTGTCCCCTCTACCCCTCTCCAAACATCCTGTGGTGCTCTCATCTCAGAACTGGGGGGGCAGAGCCATGGCCAGAGGGAAACTCGCCCCTGGGGCAGTGCTGGGGGTACAGATGGGTCTGTGACCTGGGCAGGTCCTTCCCCTCTGACCTTCCATTTCATGAGGCCAGTGGATGGAGGAGTAAGTGCTTAAGGGTGTCTTTTTAAGGATTTTGGCCCCTGATCAGGTGGGAAGGTTGATGCATCCATCCCAGAGACAAGAAACAGGGATCCAAATACTGACTCTGCCACAATTTGCAGTACAGTCTTGGGCAAGTGACCCAACCTCTCTGAGCCTTCGATTTTTTGTGCACACAGGGAGAAACCACAGCACCTCCCTTCTGCAGCACAGGAAGCTCTTGGCCTATCCTTATACCTCAATCTTGAAGCCAGGGGTGCCTCCTTCCCTCCTCGGGCAAGCTAAGATTGTTTGGGGAGGAAGGGGCCAAGATCATCCCAGGACCCCTCTCCTCAGGTTGGGGAGGCTGGGCTGGGTATGCGAGAGAGACGAAGTGTGGGGTGAAGCTGAGGAACCCGGGGACCAGCTCTCTGGGCCTGCCCTGCTTTGTGAGGGGGCTCCCCAGATTAAACCCCAGGACCCTCCCTTGCCTCCTGGGGTGTCCCCCCTACACTATCCCCCGGATCCCAGGAATAAGGAGGCAGTGCCCAGGGGCCCAGTGCCATCCTCCAGCAGCTGAGAGCCACTGCGCCCCCGCAGCCCTGGCCCCCTTGGGAGGAGATGGGGAGACAGGGCTTAAGGGAACAGGGGCCCCCTCCCCCTCTCCAAAAAAAGCTCGGAGACCTGCTGAAGGGAGGGTCTGAAGGCAGATGGTGGAGCCATTTTCTGCCTCCGTGATGGCTGATTGAAGGGCAATGAGGCAGCTAATGCGAAGAAAGATAGAAATTTACTTGCTTTAACTTCATACGGCACACAGTGAAAGAGTTCATTCAGTCGCCGGCCCGCCATATCTGATGGATGAATAAACCATTTGCAGCATCGATCATGCCTCTACATCATGGTTTAGTTCATGGGCCATTTGCTTCCAATTTCTCCTTCTCGGCCCTGTTTCATGCTTTCTTTCGTCCTCTCCACACCCCCCAGCTTCTCTCTCTCTTTTTTTCTTCCCTCTCTTCCCTCCCCCCAGCTCCCCCCCCCCCCAGCAGATGACATTGGAAGTGAGCCCTCCTGCCAGGATGGATAAATAGATGGTATTGATACTCAGGAACAAACTATTTGTCATTTGAACTGGGCTTTTAGGAGGGAGAGTAAAAAGAAGGCAGGCGCCCAGCCACCCCAGAATGCAAAGCAAATGTCACTTTATTTCTATTTAGTTATTTTATTTAATCGGTGCTGTCAGGGTGTCGGAAACCACACCAGCTGCCTCCAACTTGTGCTGTAGAGCGCAGGTCTCCCATCCTGCTGGTCTGCGGAGAAGGGTGGCAGGAGAAGTTCAGGTTGTGCAGGTGGAGGTAGGAGGAAGGAGCTGTGGATGGGGGCGTGGACTCTGGGCCCTGGCACCCTGCTTTGAGTTCATCCTGGGCTGGGGGCCCGGCAGGGGCCCCAGGCAGGCAGGAAAGAGGCTGTGGAGTCACGTTGGACACCTAGAGGCCCAAGCCCTGGTTCACTTTGCCTTCTGGCCAAGGATGGCTGGTCATCGGGGATGTCTGTGCCCAAGGATGCAGTGGTTGGCAGGACCCAGTGGGGCCTGGGGAGCCGGGCACTTCTCTGCACCCACCTGAAGCCTGTCCCCATGGTTAATGATGCTGGTTGTCTCTGACCAAGTCCCCTGCACTGTTTCTCAGCCCTGAGGTTTCTAAAGCAGCTGGGAAACAACAGGGGGTGATAGAAAGAGCACTAGACAGGGATTCCAGAGTCCCCACACAGTGGGGCTCCCATTCTGGTGGGAACAGGCAATATGGTTTGGTCGAGCCACTTCTTTGGTCTTGGTTTTCCATCTGATCCACAGAGGCTTCAGGCTTAGGGTCCCTAAGGACCCTCTCCCTCTTTGAGGCCAGTTCTGGATCCTTATTCCCACCCCACAAATGGAAACAGATGAAGGGATACAGCTGATCCCACGTCACATGGCACCCTGGAGGTGCCCAGTCCACCACAGGCCCCTGTCTGAGCTCAGAAGTAGAAGGACCAACCATCCCCCTTGCCCAGGACTGAGGGGTTCCTAGGGGTGCAGGAAGCAGGATGACTGGTCACCCAGACACAGAGCCCACAAGCAAAGTGACCACAGGTGAGGCATCCGAGGCATTGCTGCTGGCCACCCCTTCTGGAGGGGGTCTTCCGAGATGCAGTCACCACCAGCTGTCCTTCCCACCTGCAGAGCAGGTAACAACTTGCACCTGGTTTTCCCTGGCATCTTCTCGGGTGATGTTCATGTCCAGTAAAAGCTATGAAAACCATCTATATCCTTAAGGTGTAAGGCAGTCAAGGGCAGATATCCTTTCCCCATTTTGCAGGTGAGGAAAACAGGCCCACGGAAGTAAAGCACCTTGGCCGAGGCCCCATGGCAGGGGATCTTGACTTGCCAGCTTTGAGTATTTTCCACCACTCTAAAATCCAGCATATATTTGTGGCCGGCCTCAGAGTTCCCTGCCCTGTGCCGGGTCCAGCCCCACACGGAACTCAGTGAGGGAAGGGGGGTCTCTCCTCCTCAGCCTCTGTTTCTAGGGTGACAGCAATTGACCTTCTTACCAAATGGGGCTGCTGAGAACCCAAAAGAAGCCGCAGGCAGAAAGTGACACATAAATGTCCAAGGGGTATTGAAAACAAAGATTTAAGGTGTCCAGGTGGAAATAGCTAGGGCCCAGGGGTGCCCACAGGGGAGACCGGAACAGTGAGGCCAAGAGGACCCCCGTCACCTTGGTGTCCAGGGTCCGAGCACAGCTTGTGGGGGGCCCTTGGGCTTCAGGAGCCAGGAGAGAATTTTGAGAGCCCCATGCAGCCAGCAGCCCCTCTACCCGCTGCATCAAGACGAGAGGCCCATTTTCCAACCCACCCAAGGAAAAATATACATAAAGGTTGATGTGTTTTCAAATGGGTTTTTGCTTTGCTCTTCTCTTTTCTCCCTGTGAGTATTAACCTCAAGGACCCGGGGGACGGCTCGGCTCGCCAGAGCACCTGCTGGGGTCACGCGTAGTCATTAGCTTTGCGGTCAGTGCAGAATAAACCCCAATTCCAGGCGCCTGCAAGAGCAAGCGCCTGCTCCCGGGAAGCCTGCTGCCGCCGCCTCGCTCCTCCAAACTCACACTTTTCTTGCCTGACTTGTTCCTCTGCTGCTATTCTACCTCCAGCTGTGGGGGCGTCGAAGAAAAAGATGAGATCAAGTTGAGGGGAAAAATTGTCTGATTCCTGGAGCCCTTTGTTTCCCAGGCCCCCGGCAAGCGGGGCCAGCTCCGGGCTGGGGGCTGGGAGGCCCATGGGTCTATGCCAGTCGGCGGCAGGTGCTGCAACGCCCTGGTTCTGGGGAAGGGGTACCAATCTCTGCAGGAGGTGGGGTGCGGGGTGTGCGGGGACTGGTGGGGCCTGGCTTGACTCTGGACACCCCATCCTCCAGCCTCTTTCTGTCTTTTGTCAGAACCAAGCACCTCCAGGCCTCTACACAAAGACCCAGGACCCCGCCAAAGCCCCCAACAGCCCTGACATCCTTGAGATTGAGTTCAAGAAAGGTAGGTGCCCACCTGTCGGGGTTCAAGGGGGTGGGTTCTTGGGGCTCTGGCTCCTTTCCCCTCTGCCTGGGAGCCTGGGCGGGAGCCCACTGCATCCCTCTTGTGTTCCTGGGAGTCAGAGTTCAGGCAAGGGCTTCAGGGGCTCCCAACTGCCCCTTCCCAGGATGGTGTGGTCCATGGAGGCCTCCAGACATGAAAGGAAAATACCCTCAGCTGCCCATCACCTGGGCTCATGGGCACTGGTTCTGAAGTGAGAGCGTTCCAGTCCCTAAGCACTCATTTTGTCAGCTGCTTTGAGACTTTGGACAGTCACACAGTTTTCTTGATCCTCAGTGTCCTCTTCTGTAGACTGGGGATAAGAGCACCTGCTGCCTGGTATAGAATGTGGTCTGTCAGGGATGTGCCCCTTATAGGGTCCTGTACCAAGGAGATGCTCACGTGGATCTTAGAGACCTGGCCTCTGGGGCCCCCTGGCCCCACAGCTAAAGCCTCAGCTAGTTCTACACTCAATGCTGTACCCCACTTCTCTACCCCAAGCTCAAAACTGCCAGTGCTCCCACTGGCCATGGGTAGGTGTCCTGATCTCCTTATCTTCACTGCTATCAACAAGACATGTTCGCTGGCCTGGCCTGAGTGCCCAGTCTCTTGCCATGGAGAACAGAAGGGAATGTAGGATGAGCCTGGTAATGAGAGGGGTAGGGCCAGGCTCAGAGTGAGGGCTCAGAGTACCCAAGGAGAGGACCTGTCCTGACAGCTGCAGAAATCAGGGAGGCTTCCAGGAGGAGGTGGTGCTAGGCAGGAGCTAGAGGATCCAAGAGGGAGAGAGAGGGTATCCCAAGCCTGGACAAGGAGGCTGGACAGTCCATCCACAAGGCAGCTGCCCGGGCTGGAACAAGAGCAGAGGGAGAGGGAATCGACCCCTCTCAGGGCACCTCAGATCCCTGCCCTCACTCATGCTGGTGTGACCTTGACAACCAACTTCACTGCTCTGGGCCTCAGGCTCACTTGCCTATAAAACAGGCCATGGAAATGATGCTCACAGGTGCCAAGTATGGTGTGTGGAGTGAAGTGGAGGGAAACAGAGTCTGTTTAGAACTTGAATAACATACCTATTCCTGGCCTTTCCCAAGAGCCTGGCCAAGCCAGTGGGCATCTTCACTGCTTCCCCCATCCATTCAAACCCTTGAATTTCACACCACTTGGGGACCAAAGGACCATGGGCTGAGGCCCCTGAGGGTAGCCGGACCCCCAAGTGCCCACTCCGTCTGACCCAGGCATGGCCCAGGGATGCAGAGCACCTTCCAGCATCATCTTGGGGAAGGCAGTGGGACGGCCCCAGGCAGCACCTCCAGCAGATCTCCCCGGGGAGCCTGGTTGAAGGTGGGAGACGGGGCAGGAGGCAGTGGGGGTGTCAGACACAAGGCTCTGGCAGCCTCTCCTCCAGAAATAGGGCAGCCCCAAGGGCTGAGCCGGACAAGAAACGTGATCCATTTTAATGATTCGGGGACCGTCTGGAAAAAAAAAATAGACAGGAGGAGCCGTCCCCGACTACTCCCATTCACCCTCTAGTTAATTTATTTGAAGTTTTAATCTAATTATTAACTATTTTAAAGGCTAAGAGGCTTTCTCCGGCAGCAGCACTGACAATGTCAGCTCCTCTCTGGGGCAGGCCCCATCCAAGGCCATAATAGGACCAGGAGGGAGAGAAAGCGAGAGGGGAGAGGCGGGCAGTGGCGAGAGGGGCTTAAGGTTCATTATTGGGCAGACTTACATTTAATAGCAATTTACAACCAAGTTATAAAACCCCTGGAAATGGGGGTGAAGAATGGCGAGGTGACAGCGCCTTGAGGGAAGCCCCTCCAAGCGGCGCCTGGCTAATAAAGACTCGAAAGCCTCTATTGAGACCTGATTGGCACCCGGTCGCTGGCTACATGGTAATGAGCTGGGCAGATGGGTGGGGGATTATCCGCCAACTTTGAACAGCTTTCCTTTGTCACTGTTACAGCTCTCTTGTTAGCCCCCTAATACATTTATTGCTCATTTCACACCGCTCGAGAAAGTGCCCCTTGCTATTCAAAGTCAACCCTGAACCCACCCACTGCCCCCCCTCCCAACCACCCCCCTTGACTCGGCCCTGCCCTCCCCTCCGGGACCAGCGGCCGCCTCCCTCCAGCCCTCCTGCCACCCCAGACCCGACTTCTCGGAATCCACGAGGACACCTCTAACACCTCGCTTGCCCAAGTGGGCACCGCTTCACCCAGCCGGCGGCTGCGTGGCTCTGGGGTGCGGGGGGGACACTGGGGTCCACCTGACAGACGTGGCAGGGGGCTGTGGGGGTGTGTGCGTGTGCATGTGTGCGCGCACGAGGGCGAGCTCGGCCCCACCTCGGCCAGGCGGCCTGGGTAGCTGGTGGGACAGAAGGTGCCCCGGTGTAAGACAATGGTGGAGCGTGAAATTCAATTAGTTCAGGGCTGGTTCCAATTTCACAGCCCCTAAATGCAAAAGGGACAGAGAGAATGGGAAGGGTGGGGGGCGCGTTTTTATTGCATTTTCCCTTTCATTCTGGGGGGCGTTCTCGCCCCTTCTCTCCCTCCAGCAGGCCCCAACCTGCACAGGGCTTTTCAAGGAGTCATTTGGAGTCCATATCTGTCAGATCCATTTAAGGCGTTGCGGGCGGAGGGAGAGGGCGGGGTGGCAGGCACCAGCTCCTGCGCCCAGCCCGGCTCCGGCCTGCAGGCCCACCGCCCTCTCCTCCCCTAGGGGTCCCCGTGAAGGTGACCAACGTCAAGGACGGCACCACCCACCGCACGTCCCTGGAGCTCTTCATGTACCTGAATGAAGTCGCGTGAGTGCCCACAGCCTGGCCTGGCCTCCTGGGAAGCCACCCCTGGGAAGCGCTGGTATAGGCCCCTGGGGTTGATGGTCATGGCTTGAGGCTTAGGGGCTGAGGAGGACAGGCAGCCCTGGTGCAGCCCGCAGGCATGGGAGCCTCTGGTGACTGTCAGCCTTGGAAGGTTAACAACCTCCTGGAGGTGGTGGGAAGCATATACTGGCCCCTGGGGACAGCCTGACTAGAGCTTCTGGGCCCTACATAGGAAAGATGAGCACTGGGTAGGGCTGGTGCCGTTCAAGGCCCCAGGACAGAGGCAACAGAAGTTGCAAACTCACTGTGTGACACAGGCAATCCTTTCACTCTCGGGGTCTCAGGTTCCCCTCCTGTACAGTGGGCAGTTGGAGTAGGGACCTGGCTCCAATGTCCTTTGTGTCTTGGATCCTGGAATGGGGCCTGACCCCCTGCATGTGGCTCTGGCACCCTGCAGCCCAGAGCCCAGCCAGGTGGTGGCGTCTGCCTCGAATCCTTGTGGCAGCATGTGGTTTTAAGGGGCCCATTCTCCCCACAGGGGCAAGCACGGTGTGGGCCGCATTGACATTGTGGAGAACCGTTTCATTGGGATGAAGTCCCGAGGTGAGTCTGCTCACTGCCCTTGGAGGCGTGTCTCGGCTCCCAGAGACCCCAGAGGCCCCTCAGATTCCCATTCCATTCAGGTGTTGCTACTCCCACGCTATGTGGATGACTTTGTGCAAGTTCCTGCACCCATCAGACTGTTTCTCCCCCTGTGGGGTGGGGATGGTGGGCCCTTTGCCACTGACTCTCAAGGGCCTTATGAGAAGCACTGTCCTGAGGGGGGGGGGGATTGGAGGGGGAGGGGGAGGGGAGGAAAGGGGAGGTCGGACCGGACTGGAGGTCGGGCTGTCCTGTGCCCCAGGGCGGGCAGGTTGGCCAGGTTTGGAGGCACACCATGCAGGGCCGATTTCACAGTCATTAAGGCTGCTCAGAGGAGGCTGCCAGCCAGGCAGGGCAGGAATCCTGCCAGGGGTGGGCGCTGTGGGCTGTGCTGGTGGTGTGAGCCGCCGGGTCGGTGGGGCTCCGCCTCTGTGCAGAGCAGCTGCCACCTTGGCTAGACGGTCAGGCCTGCAGCCAGCCGCCTTGGGCTGTGCCCGGAGTGGAGAGAGGTTGGTCCCAACCAAGCAGGCACCTGAGTCTTCTCTTATTAACCAGAGCCCTGTGACTTTCCGTCACCACGTTATCAGACCATACCCTCCCCTCCGGGACTCAGTTTCCCCATATGAGTGGCCCTCCTGCTAGCCTGTGATAAAGCAATGCTACATCCTCAGGGCACTTTAAGAGGGAGTGGGCAATCTTTCAGCAGTCTGAGCCCCCAGATTGAGCACCTGATTTTTTTTTAAGTACTGGTGATGAGGTTGAGGGTCCCCTGTCTTTTTTTTTTTTTTATTTTTTAATTTTTAAATTTTTTTTGAGGGTCCCCTGTCTTGACGGATATTCAAAATTGCTTTGCTTAGGGTCAATTTAAAAAGATAACACAGGGCAGCCCTGGCGGCGCAGCGGTTTAGCGCCGCCTGCAGCCCAGGGCATGATCCTGGAGACCCGGAATCGAGTCCCACGTCAGGCTCCCTGCATGGAGCCTGCTTCTCCCTCTGCCTGTGTCTCTGCCTCTCTCTCTCTCTCTCTCTCTCTGTGTGTGTCTCTCATGAATAAATAAATAAAATCTTTTTAAAAAATAAATAAGAAATAAAATAAATAAAATAAAAAGATAACACAACCAAAAAAAAATTTTTTTTAAAGACAATGCAACCAAAGGAAACCAGACCAGGGTAGAGTCATGGAGTTTTGTCCTCTGGGACGTTTTTACTAAGATTCTAAAATCCAGGGAGCTGATGGCCAGATTTCAGCTGTTAGAACAGGGTGCTGGTCCAGGAGACAAGAAATGGGGGTCCTCACTCAAGCTTACCCTGCCTTGACTGATGACCTCTGACTTGTCACCTCCAGGCCTCATTTCCCCAAGTGTGATGCGGTGGGCACAGGGCAGGGGAGGTCGGATCCTTCCAGCTCTGACCTGTCTGGATTTATCTCAAAAGGTGTGGGGAGACAGGAAGTGAAGTGGCCACGTTGCCTCTTTTCCTGTTATTTTTTTCTTTCCTCCTCAACCCAGCTACTATCTGCGAGAAGCAAAGGAAGGCCTTGTCAGAACAATGTAACTAATTAGCTGCTCCCTTTTGTCCTCACTTAAACCTTCGCCTCTTACTTGTATTAACATCTGATTAAATGTCCCTTTGTCTCAATCTGCCCTTGGGAGACAGCACAATGTAAATCACACAAGGCAGATCTGGTGGGGGGGGTGCAGCTTGGGGGAGCCACAGACCAGCACCCTCACCTTACAGAAGGGGAAACCAAGGCCAGGACGGATGCCCAGATCCAGAGAGGCACAGAGTGGAGGTTAAGAGTGCAAACCCTGGGGTGGGGCAGATCCAGGTTCTGGCCTATATTTAGTCATGGGGTCTGTGCAGGGGAGGTGCCCCACAAATGGCAGCGTTCCCCGGGGCAGGCTGAAAGGTCAGAGACAGCCTGTGCCCTCCAGGAGCTCCTTGTGGCTCAGAAGTGTCCTCTCTGGCACCAGTCGTCATGCCTTTCCTGTGCTGTCATTAATGGATTATGGGTGTGACCCAGGGGTGCAGATAGTTAACTACCAACTGATCAGGATTGGCGCTTGTGGTGAAAATGAATTGCCTTCCCAGGTAAGGACTGGCCTGGGGCCACTCCATGAAATGCCATCCTGCTGCACAGGGATAGTCGGAGTAGACTTGATCTGAGGTGTGGTAATAAAGACCTGGACTGGGCTATGCCGAGAAGACATCCTGGAAGAGGTGGCAGGAGAATAGGCTTCAACTGGTAGATGTGGTATAGAGAGGGTGGAGTAGGAACATTCCAGGAGATTAGTAGAGGTCAGGGGCTGTTAGGTCTGATAGAGGCTGAGCCCCTGGAGCCTGAGGGAGGCCCAATGGAGGGCTCATCTAGAGGGTCTGAGCTTTGGTGGCAGACATGAGTCCCAGTCTTGGCTCTATCACCCTGAAAAAGCAACTTAGCCTCTCAGAGCCTTGGCTTCTCCGTTTGTGAAATGGGTGGTTGTGTGGAACAAAGAAAGGGAGCTCTGGATGGTGCACTATGCCTTTTCCCCAGAATTGGGGGGCATCACCGCAACTGAAGTTCAGGGCCTTGAAGTGAGCAGTCAGTTCTGACTTCCTTGGCTCCTAACACCCCATCAGGGGAGAGGCTCCTGGAGTATAGCCTCCACTGTGCCCAGGTCCTCTGTGTGTACCCACAGGGGGCTGTCCCTAAATGCACAGCATTTAGCCTGAGGGTTGTACAGTCTTTGGGAAAGACCATCGGGATTCTGACTCCCAAGAACTTGCTGTGTGACCTTAGCAAGTTGCTTTCCCTCTCTGTGGCTCCACCTGTCAAAGCTGGAGCCGGAGGTGATCTGCCCCCTGGAAGTTGAGATTGGCCTGTTTTCTTGTTTGGATCAGAGAGGTAAAAGAAGTTTGCTTCGTGATTTTAGGGTGGCAGTGTCCTGTTTTTGTGCCTTCGTTCCAAGTGATTGGTCGTGAGGGAGAAAGAGCAGGGCAGTAAGTGAGGGCGTTTCGGGTATCCACACACCGGGTTTTTATGAAGTCTGCAGCAATGGGAGAAGCCGCTAATTGTCAATGATATTGAGGGCAGAGCGAGAAGACGCTATTGTCCGTACCCCTGTGTACAAGGGGGAGATGTCATTTGTATTGATTTTACAAAGCTCATAATTGAAATTCGTTAAAGGGCTTGGTTTTTTTTGGTGGTGGTGGGGGAGTTGGGCAGTGCTAGTGCCCCAAGTCTGGGGTGGTCATGGGGTCAGAGGGAAGGAGGCTGGGGAAGCTGCAGATGGAGTAGCTTTTGCTGTATTGTGGCTGTTCACATCGTCATTATCACATTATCTTTTTAACTCTGGAGGGGGGCTAATTAAGTGAAGTAAATGAAATCAGTGGGAAGGAGAAGGGGGGGCAGGGCAGACAAGAGGGAAGGTGGGGGGGAGCCAGAGCCTGTCCTTCCGCTCACCTTCTCCCTCCTTCTTTAGCCATCCTGGGTGTCTCCTGAGCTCCCTATCCCTGCCCATCTCACCTCTGCCTGCTGCTGCCTCTTCCCTCTGCAGACCCCCTCCCGCTTCTCTTCTCTCTCCTGTCCCTCTCTCGTCCACCCTTCCCATCTGTCTCCCACTCTCCCCTCCTAGCTCACTTCCTCCTGACTCCTCCACTTTCTGGCTAAGAAGAAGCAAGGGCTGCCCGCCCACTTACCCACCTGCCTGCCCACCTGTCCAGGCCTCCCAGGAGGCTCTGCTCAAGTGGAATGCTCCAGATGGAGAGTAGAGGGAGACCTGTGAAAACAAAGATGTCTGTACCCTCAGAGCCCCACCCTGATCCCAAGACTGGGGCCAGCAGGGCACCAGGAACATAGAGGATGGCTAGAGACCCACCATGATTTGCCTCCCCATCACCATAGCAACTGCCTCCATCCTTGGCCCTGGTACCCAAGAGGGGAGCCCTTGGGCTCCAGCCAACCTCCCTTCCCCAGGCCTTTCCAAATGTCTCCCTCTGGAGACTGCTTTCCCAAAGGACCAAAGCCTCTGGTCCAGGTGCCCCAACCCCCACCTCACCCCCACGCAGGCCCCAGCTGATTAGAAGGTCCCACTCCGTTCTGCCAAACTGTGCCGCCCAACAGCCTCAGGAACAGAGGAGACGGATTTAAGCAGCAGCAACATTTTGGTCCTCACCTCTTCCTCTTTGGTCCATTGGCCCCCCCCCCACATACACCCTAGCTCCTTGCCCTTTTCGCCATCCACCCCTTGGCAGTAATTATGGTGTGATTGAAGCTGCTCCACAGAGAACCGCTGACACCTCTGTCTTTTTCCTGTAAACACGGGGAGATGAAAATAGACACTTGGAGCCGCTGTGCGTGTCACTGCGAAGATGTCTGTTGTCTCTTCCACCGCGACAGCGAGACTCACCTGTCATCTCCTCCTTCTTTTTGCGCAGTGGTTTGTATGCCGACTGTCAAAAGCCCCAAATCCACAGTCTTTTAGCATCAGGTTTCTGTCAGTGGTTTTTTTTTTAAGTCATTTTTTTTCCAGAAGGACTACACAGAAATCATCTGTACCCCTACCCCTGTGGAGAGGAGAGGGGAGATCTTTCAAATACTCCCATGCACACGTGCACACACACACACACACACACACACACACACGATAGCAGCAACCTGAAAACAGCTTTTTGATCAGTCACAATTAACTTTAACACCTAGGAAAAGGAGCAGGAATATTAATTGTGCCGTGTGTCAAGGCTGTGCCTTTCCTCTTGCCCGCGATGCTTCCTGTGGCTGTCTTGGGGGGTTGATGGCCATGAGGCTGGTGCTCAGGGCACAGGGGCAGGGAGCTCTACCCACCAGACACTCTATGCTCCTTCCTCGGGGAGCAACTCTCTTGGGCCAGCAGCAGGTGGCCCTTGGGCAGGTCAGAGCTCTTCCTAGCTGGAAAGTACCGGTGTCCTCCTAGCACTCTGCACACAACCATTGATGTTCTTTCTCTGGGCTGCTGGGAGGTGATGCTGCAGAGTCGGCCCCCGTGTTCTAGAGACAAAACCATCAGCATGTACACCACGTCAAGACACAGTGTGTCTGTGTACTTAACCTTCCAGGCAGGTCTCAGGGGAAGTTGGGATGAGGAACAGTTTGCCTGGGGCTCAGGAGGTGGCTGAGGTGGACGAAGGTCACACAGCAAAGCTGAGCTGGGAATTCTGCGAAGGTTTCATTTCCATGAGCCTTCTGGTCCCCAGCCTTAGCCCTGAAGGTACCATTTGGCCTGTGCCCCCCGCCTGGCCCAGCAGAAGACAGAAAAGCAAGGAGTCCGACTTCCCGGGGGCCAAAAGCAGGAGGGCTCCAGTCATTGGCCCACCTGGGCTGGCACGGTTGAGACTCTGTGCCAATAGATGGGTAGCCTTTGAAACTTTTTGGGTTTTTCCAAAATCTAGCAAAACTAATCCTTAGAAGGCCTGTTTCCAAATCGATAAACACCCAAACTCTTAGTATGTCCCAGGATGAAAGACCAGGAAGCTTGGGTCAGTCACTATATTCCCAGAGATAAAGTTTCTAGGAGAGTTGAAAACTTGCCCCTTTAACATTGTGGTCATCTCTGCCATTCTGGAAGCAGACATTTCTAAATGTTCTGCAAACGTCTGTCTTTGTAAAGAGGTGACTAAACCAGTGGGTCTTGCTCCGTTGCCCCGGAGCCATCGGGAGCCACTTGTTTGTGGCACCTTGCTGTCCCCACAGGAAGGGCCCTGACTTCTGTGCCAAGTTTTTGCAGGTTTTCTGTGCCTCCCCTGTTCTCACCCAGCCAGCCAGCTGTCTCCACCGCCAACAGCCTTTTTGGTTCATGGCTCCCAGTTGCTCCATGGAAATGGATGACAGAGCCTGTTTGAACTGTGTTTGCAAGAGTGACAAGGAGACTGAGTGAGGGCCTGAACATCGCCCCGGGACTCCAGGGCTTGGGGCCAGTGCATGATCTTGGGATGTTGGTGCTTTCCTGCTGGGGAGGCCGTTTGCCCCTAAACGTCACGATTGGATCAGAACAGCAGACATTGCCCAAGAGCCACACTAGTGAAATGAACAGGCTCTTCTGTGGCACCTGGTCTCCAGGTGGGGCTTTGACACATATGTCCGCCCAAGACCAAGATATCAGGGGTCTGCAGATAAGAGAATCACCCCCCCCCCAAGAGGCTCTTTTCTGCTTGGGAACACCTTGGAGCCAGGATAAGAGCCCCGGCCTGTCCTCCTCGGCCATGGCTCCTCAGATTTGTGTTCCTTTTCATGGCCTGGTAAGCATGGATCGCTTTGCCAAAGACTCTGAGAAGCAACCTGGGCAGAGAAGGGAGATCTAGATGCTGCTCACACCAACCTTAGGCTTCAGCCTGCCCATCTGTAAAAGTGATGTTGAACCAGATTGGCATTTTAAGGACTTCCTGGTGGAGCCCGGGGTTTGCAGAGGGGCCTCTGCTCCCTGCAGCAGGGCCCAGGCTCTCCCTTCCCTATGTTAGGCTTCTGTCAAAGACTGTTTCAACAGTGCAGCTCAAAGTTAGAAGAACGGGGCACTGATGGTCTGAAAGGGCCTGTCCTGGCAGCCAACATTTCTCTAATTTCTGAGTGAAAGATCGAACATCAGGGGGTTCTCAGAGGAGGACATTTCTGGCAAGTGGCTGCACACTCAGCCATGCTCATGGCACCTTTGGGCTCCAGGTTCGAAAACAATCTCCCTTCTGATTTAGGCGGGGGGGGGGGGTTGCTAAAAACATTTTTCAAATAGTGGTGAAAGGGACATAACATTTACCATTTGAACCATTTTGAAACCTACAGTTCAGTGGCAGTAGATACAGTCACTGTTGCGTGGCCATCATCCCCATCCACCTCCTGAAATCTGTCTTCCCAAGCTGAGAGCCCCTCTCTGTAGCCCTCCCCCACCAAATGACAACTTCCCACTGCCCCATCCCCCCACCATCCCACTTCCTGTCTCTACGAACCTGGTGACTCCAGGGATCTCATCTAAGTGGAATCAAGGTATTTGTCTTCTTGGGACCAGTTTACTTCACCCAGCATGCTGTTCTTCAGGTACACCCGCCCTGTAGCAGGTGTCAAGAGTCGCCTCCCTCTTTAAGGCTGAATAATATTCTACTGTGTGTGTGCCACATTTTGTTTATCTACTCAGCTGTTGATGGACATTTTGGTTGCTTCCGCCTTTTGGCTGCTGTGAACAGTGCGGCCATGAACATGCGTGTACAGACAATGTGGAAACACAGTGGTAAATTTTTGGGATCACTGAAAATGTGCCCCTTTAGCACTGTAATGATGTGTGGTGGGAAGAAAGGGCAGTCTCAGAGTAGCATTTGTAGGATGGGGACAGATCTTACCTTCTCCCATCGGAATAGTGGACGCCTGGCAGGTTTTCCTGTGGTCAGTTCAGCATGCTCCCCTGATTTCTTAGAAAGGCCATGTTGCTGGGGCTAGAGAGGGTCTGGTGGTCCCACCTCCTGGCGTCTTAGTGTTCTCAAATCCAGTGTGGGACTACCAATCAAACCTCCCGGCCAGCCAGCACCAGGCTCAGCTCAGGGTCAGGCCTCTCAGTGTCACTTTGGACACCATTTGGTCTAAGCAGGTTGTTTAGGAAATGGAGAGACTGGGCCTGGGGTCATCAGGAGGGGGTTTGGGCAAGACCTTCTGGTAGGGTTGGGGTTTGGATTTGGGCCCCATCAGCAGTGGGCCCACGGGGCAGCAGACAGCACTGGTCAGGGGCTCGGCGCCTCGACCCAGGCCCCAGCTCCACAATGGGCACTTTCTTTCCCCTCCTGGGCTCAGTTTCCCCATCTGTACATGGGATGAGTGCAGGAGCCCACCAAGCCCTCTGCCATCACAGAGATTGGGGTTTATCCTCAGAGACGTAGCTGCCAAGGGAGGCACTGGCTGAAGGTGGCATGTGCATGCACACGTGTACACGAGTGTGCATGTGTATGTACAGCTGTCTCCTCCCCTGGCTCCCCCATGGAAGGGAGGAAGGGATATTTGGGGGCCTGGGCTCTACTGTGGTTGGTTTAATTACAGGTTTTCAGCCGCGGGCCGGTGGGCACGCGTCGGGAAGGAGGGGGGAACAGCTCCAAAACCCTATCATTTTCCAGCGTCTGAGGGCCTCTTCAAAGGGGGGCATCCAGACATTTTCTCCACAAGCCGCAGAGTGGACTGTCGTGGCCTCAGCATGAGCATAATGACAGGCGCATTTTGCAACAAGCTGGGAGTGAATGGGTCCGACCGGCTTGTCTCCTGTCAGACGAGTCATTATTATTTTTTTTTTTTTTTGTCATTTGCTGACAGTTTGGGTTTCATGCATTTCTCTCTTTTTTCTCCTTTTCCCCCTGCCTGGAAAAATGGCTAGGTATCTACGAGACCCCAGCAGGGACGATCCTTTACCACGCTCATTTAGACATCGAGGCCTTCACCATGGACCGCGAAGTGCGCAAAATCAAACAAGGCCTGGGCTTAAAATTCGCCGAGCTGGTGTACACGGGTACGTAGCGCACGTGGCTGCTCCCCCTCCCCAAGCTGATGGCACCCTCTTCCAGTCCCTCCCCACCCACTGCCATCCTCAAGAGAGCCCAGAAGGTGCAGGTTGGAGGAGTTGTGTGAGGGCAGGAGACAAGGAGTGAGGGAGTTGGGGGGCTGGCACTGCCTTGTTCACGGGGTGTGAAGGGAAGCATGCCAGTCACCCCAGGATGTCCAGCTGCCTCTGCCACCTGAGATTTGCACGGCCTCAGCAGGGCCAGGGAAGCATCATGTGTCATTCTTAGGGTGGCCAGCACCTCGCACACGCCAGGTGCCAGGCCCTGTGTGGGGACATGAGCCATCCTGGGGTGAGGTGGAGGGTGGTCCTCCCAACATTCCTAGGAGAGCCACAGCTGGCTCCTTTTACAGATGAGGAAAGGGAGCCTCAGAGCAAAAGGACCTTGTACAAAGTTCCATGACTGGAAGTGGCCTAGCTGGGGTTGACCCCCAGTTGGGCTGTCCCCGGGCAGAACCTGGGGCTGCCACAAGCAAGGCAAAGCCAGAGCCAGAGGCAGCCCAGGCACCAAATGACATCAGCACACAGTATGGGTGGGTCCCCCTGTTACAGGTGAGACCCAGTGCCTTATCTGTCACAGAGTTAGAATCCAGGCCTCCTGGCTGCAAACCCCTCCCTCACACCATATGACAGGGGTCCCCACATCCAGCCCACCTCCCATTTTTGTTCAACGCACAAGTGAAGCCTAGGTTTCTATACATTTTTTTTAAATGATTGGGGGGAAAACTATTCAATACTACCATTTCTTGTCCCATGAAAATTCTAGGAAATTCAAACTTCAGTGTCCATAAATAGTTCTTTGGGCACGGCCACGCGCATTGGTGTATACGTTGTCTTTGGTCACTTCTGAGCTACCATGGCAGAGTTGAGTAGTTTGTGAGAGAGACCATGTGACCTACAGAGCCTAGGATATTTACTATCTGGCCCTTTACAGAAAATGTTTGCTGACCCTCCTCTATAACATTCACTGTCTCCCTAATGTGAGAAGTCACATCAAGCAGTCCCTCTGAGCTTGGGCGCAGTGAGGGTGTGGGGGACAGACTGCTGCCTGAGGCCGGGTTGACATCTGTGGGGGCCTAGACATCAGGGGAACGCGGGGAAAGTGCATGTTAACAATCCCTATCTGGGATAAGCCTCTGCTGCCCTCGCCTTATCCCCTCCCTCTCCTCTGGAGGTTTTATTTTCCTTTGAAAGCTCCTAATCACTGTAACTCATCTTGGGATTTCAAGGGGACTCCAGTGGTTATTGGCTGGGCGATTTTTCCCTCCCATTGTATCTGGCAGCTTTGAAGCTGGGTCCCCCCCTCCACCTCCCCAGGTACAGACAGGTGTTTAAATACCATTGTCTCCTGCGGGCTCTCTTGCTCCGCGGGGTTTCAGCAGAAAGGTGGATTCTGGTTACAAAGTAGGAGAGTCATTAAGCATGGCAGGCCCATAGAGGAGAGCACCTGGCCTGGGCTGCTAGCTCAGAGGCTTCTCCGGGAGGCCAAGTGGGGGCCGCCTCCAGCCGCCCTCCCCTCCCACAGCCACCACCTCTCTTGCTGCGGGACCCTGAGCTGGGCGCTCACGGGCATTACCTAGTCTTAACTACACAGGGGTGAGAAACTGGTTTCTAGGTTTCACAGCTGATGAGTGGTGGTGTTGAGCCCAGGACAAGCCAGCTGCAGAGGCCAAGTGCTTGGCCAGGCCAGTGGATCCTCGTGGGGGGGAGGGGGGGAGGGGGAAAGGTAAACTGGGGTCCTTGGGAAACGAGATCAAGGGGCTTGGTGGCATGCACAGGGGTCCCTTGGGATCCGGGGCACAGCTTGGCCCCAGCCACGGGCTCAGGGCCCCTACACCTGACCACCGGGTTGTAATCCTTACTGTTACCCACTGAGCCTTCCAAATCCCCAGATGAGGTACAATGATTAGGAGCCTTCAAAGGATTCTTTTTATTTATTTATTTATTTTTTTTTTTATTTATTTTTTCTTCAAAGGATTCTTGATGCTCTATTTCCCAGGTGCCCCGACATCACCAGGCCCCTGTAGATGTCAGCCCGGCCTCGGGTGGCAGCCTGTCCCCACCCCAGCTTGGAGGGGCTATTTGTTATGACTTCTCATGTCAGGGAGACATGAACGTTACAGAGAGGTTTAAGCAAATGACCCGTGAATCTCCCCGTGCCTCGGTTTCCTCATCTGAAGAGTGGGGATAATAAACATACCTAGAACAGCACCTGGCACAGAGGAGTGGGTTGATATACTACAAATGCCTGGTGTGTTTTCCAAGGGTAGAGGCAGGGACCTGGGGCCTTACCTCTGGGTGGGTTTATGACCGAGTAGGTCTGTCTACCTTGATCCTCAGTTTCTCCTCCTGTAAAATAATGGGCACCAGACCAGGTCTCTTCCATCTGGTTCCATCTAGCTCCCACTCATTGAGCCTGCCACTTTGCTGTAACACGTGGCTTCCTCAGAGCACAGATAGGGACACTGAGGCACAGAAGAAGCCCATCTGCCTCAGCCCCACTGCTAGGTGCCCTGGTGACTGTGACCACTGTTCATTTCCCTCTCCTCACCCCATCCCCAAGTTTCTCTATGGGCTTGTACAGACCCTCTCCCTCCAGGCATAGGCCCTAGTCCCCACCCTCAGGGTCATTCTGGCAGGACCCTGGCTTCAGGACCTGTCTCCTTCATTTTTAAAAAAAATTTTTTAAAGATCTTATTTATTCATGGGAGACACACAGAGAGAGGCAGAGACATAGGCAGAGGGAGAAGCAGGCTCCTCACAGGGGGCCCGATGCAGAATTCAATCCCAGGACCACCAGGATCACACTCTCAGCCGAAGGCAGACACTCAATCACGGAGCCACCCAGGCGTCCCAGGACCCATCTCCTTTAGGGCATGTAGCTTACCTCCTCTCCCTCACCTGTTTCTTCAGCAGAAGAATGAGTATGATGCACAGCTCATACAGAGGGCTGTTGTCCCAATTAGCATAGTGCTTGGCCCACCCCCAGACCTGGGATACTCACGCAGCACCACAAGCTCACTATCCCTCAGCCCAGGCTGGAGCTGCTGGGAAAAGAAATCTGAGTTCAAGACCCCCATGCAGCAAAGGTGGAAGATCCTGAGATAAAGCCCAGGCCAGATGTTCCCATGTGGGTGCACCTATCTCTGACTCCATCTCCTCCCCGTCTTCCAGCCTGAGAGCTTAATGGTCTAATTATCCTGACTTAGAAAGATGGCCAAAAAAAAAAAAAAAAAAGAAAAAGAAAGATGGCCAAGCGACTGGGGCATGGCAGGGGGCAGCCATCAGTGTTCCCTCCCATGCGGGTCTAGGCTAGAGTCAGGAGCACTTTTCAGGATCTTGCTGTGGCTTGGGACACTTCTCCAGGTGTCTGTCTGTCTGTGCAGTGAGGGCTGGCGGAGGCCATATTCAAATCTCAAACCTAAAATGCTTAGTGCCCGGCCTGCATCCTATCAGTGAATCCATCCAACTCGCCAGAGAGTGGTCAGTAATATCTCATTGTGCAAATTATCATTGCGGAGCAGGATCTAAACCCAAATGGCAGGTGGCTGGAGGGTGACGACCCTGCCTGGCCCTCCCCCACCTCTGCAAGTCACTGATCCCATCCCAGAGAAGCTTGCCCCCCTTTCCCACGGAGAGCCTCAGCAGGTGCCCCTGGAGGCCCGGCCTCCAACAATAGCCACAGACCCGGGGCTGACCTGGCCCTTTATCAGGGCAGGAGATCGCGCACCATCTGGCCTCACAGCTGCCCAGGTGGGCTCACCTTCCCAGCTCCGTTTCACAGAAATCCTACCCCTCGAGCTGTTCCTCCCCTGGTCCTGGCCACAGCCCGCCTGCCCTGCACAGAGACCAGAGCGGAGATGGCTGGCTGCCTGGCTGCAAGTCTGAGCCCGTCGGTGCTGAGCTGCAGGCCCCAGGGCAGCCTGGGGACTGAGCACACAGCCTCCAGTGGTCTCAGGGCTCTGGAGGGACAGCATGGAGGAGGGGACAGTGTGGGGGAGGAGGAGGTAGCACATTTCTCAGGTACCTTGGGTACTGATGAATGTTCTGTCCACAGGCAGTAAAAGTCTAAGATTATCATACGAAGCAGAGCTGTTATAACTAAGGTCAGACCCTGGTCCCTCACTGCAGCCTGTGCATGCTCTTGGGGAAACCTCAACTTACTTCTCTGGGCCTTACTTGTTCACTCAGAAAAGAGGGTAAGGGAACTTTTCTCCTAGGGCTGTTTATGATGTTTCAAAGAGCTAGTCCAGGTGAAGAATTTAGCACGGTGTCCATGCTACATACATAAAAATATTTGCATAGGAAAGTATTAGCAGCATGTAGACAGTTGACTGACATCTGAGGGGTGGGGCAAGGACTCCAGTGTGTGGACACCCAGGGGCCTCTACCCACAATAAGCGCACTAGTCCTTGGAGGGGGATACTGTGTCATCCCCACTCAATAGATGGGGAAGCAGAAGGACAGAGCAGTGAAGGGAACACACACACACAGAGTCTTTCTGCCCCTGAACCACCACCCAGCTGCCCCTGGGAAGATGAGCATTCCCATCGCTCAGCCCTGAATCTGGCCTGAGGTCTCCTACCCGACAGCTATCTGCCATCCTCATAAGACTGAGCTCCCTGTGAGCAAGCCATGGCGTCCCTTCACGGCTGTGTCCCCACGGCCTGGCCCGTTGTACTCCTTGAATGTCTGGCATGAGGCAGAGGGTTGGCTCCCCTCCTCCCAATCCTTGGGAGGTGATGCTTGCAAGAGCAAGGAGGGCCCCTCCTTACCCACCAGGGACATGCAAGGTCAGAGGATAGGCACATGGACTTGTTCCTTGATGCAGCTGTTTGTAAGCGTTCTTTGTGCCAAGACCCTCCCGCCCCCAAGGTCTGCCATGGTGGACTGCGGGACAGGGTGGCCTCCCTACACCCCCGATCCTAGGCCCCAGCACAGTGGGTCTCCCTAGCACCCTCTGTTTCCCATCCCTGCAGGTTTCTGGCACAGCCCCGAGTGTGAATTTGTCCGCCACTGCATCGCCAAGTCCCAGGAGCGTGTGGAAGGGAAAGTGCAAGTGTCCGTCTTCAAGGGCCAGGTGTACATCCTCAGCCGGGAGTCCCCACTGTCCCTCTACAACGAGGAGCTGGTGAGGTAGGTGCCCCATGCTTGCCCCCCAGCCGAGGAACACACCCTCACGGCCACTGACCCTTCCAACCAGCTTTCTCAACAAAGATGTGCCTGAGCACGGGGAGGCTGTGGGGGAGCCAGTCACACAGGGAATCAACGCTACCTCTACCCTCCTGGACCTTCCAGGCTAGACAGGGAGAAAGGCACCCATCAAATGATCACCTGAATGTAGAATTAGGAAAGACGGTGTTGGGCTGTGAGGAGGCACAGGTCTGACTGGGGATTCTAACTGGGATGTGGAGAAGCTTCCTGAGGAAATCACTGCTGAGCTGGCCTCCAAAAGACAGTTGCTAAGCAGGTGGAGAGGGAGCTTGGAAGCTTCCAGGGACATGGTCATGTGCAGAGGTTCTGGGCATTGGATGAGTCCAGAAGGTCCCAGGCACGCTGGGAGAAGGGGGTCAGAGCAGGAGGGTCCCGGAGGCAGATCTTAAAGAGGAGCCATCAGAACTTTGTTTCTTGAGGGTCCTTCTGGCTGCTCCGGAGAATAGATCCCAAGGGACATGCCAGCTGGGACCAGGCTGACGGGTCTGGAGGTGGAGAGAAACAGAAGGATCTGGCAAACGGTGAAGAGGTTAAGAATGGAAAGGGCTTGGATATGGAAAGGGATGAAGCACTTTCCGGACTTGCCCGGCATGAACAGCTGGGCGCACTGGGGTGGCAATTCCTGAGTTGAGGGAATTCTTGAGAGAAGGTCCTGCATTTGGACTCAGACACCTTGAGGGTGAGTCATCTTCGAGCCAGACCAGGAGAGTGTCTGTCAAGCCCTCAGACACACCAGCCTAGAGTTCCAGAGAGAGTGGGTGGAAGACAATGGAGAGTTGCAGACATCTGGAGGTTTCCCAAAGCCAGGAGGAACCTGGCCGGGGCCAGGGGGGCGGGTCGGAGTCACCTGGGATGGGAGCCAAGGAGGGGGTCTCTAGGCCATACCGAGGATGCTGCCTCCAAGGCCCCAGGGCCAAGCTGCAGAGCCCTGGTGGGCCGGGTCAAAGGCAACCTCGGCTCTTGAGTCGCATCTGCACCATGCCTTCCCCGCGGACCCTTCAGAGGTCACCTGGCCTCCCAAGAGGTGGGACCCGACGGCCCCACCCGACCCCAGTCCCCAGCCCAGCTTAGCCCTGGCGGAGGCCTGTTGGGAATTAGCGGGCGAGTTTTGTTTGGCGGTCAATATTATTTCCCTCTTTCCCTGTCTCCTCGCCGTGCTGAGCTGCTCCCCCCTTCTGTCTTTCTAAACACTTTATGAGCCATAAATATAACCGAATCAGTTTAGATCAGTCGGGGTAAATGTCAAATTATCTTCTCTCTTTCTCTCTCTGGCTCTTTCTTTCCTCCCCCTCCGAATCAACAGCTTCTAATAATCTGCCCAACCCTTCATTAAGCCTTACAGCCTCACTCAGGGAGATTAAATGAAGAAAGTAAAAAGGGGAAGGAAAAAAAGAGAGAAAAGCAGGCGCATTTATTCTCACTGTGTCTCCGACCATTTCCCCTTTCTCTTTGATTTCTACATCGCTGGCTTGAAAGCCCTTGAGTGACAGCCTCACAGGGACCAGCGAGGAAGCCGCGAGAGGTAGCAGAACTGGAAATGCCGTGGCACAGTAGGTAGAAAGTAACGTAATTATAGAGCAGGTCAGAGCCACTCGAATGAACAAAAATAAAAGCACAGAGGTTTTCTGTAGACCGTCAGGGGAGGTAAAAAAAAAAAATCATTGTAAACTCTTTTTCCACCACCATCAGCCACCCCCACCCCCACCACCACCCCAAACCACAATTTTAAAAGAGGTTTTTCAGCTCCCGAGAAACACCTCTGGGAACTCTTCTGCAGCCTCATGCTCCGGACAAGTTTGTCCCCGGACCTGGGCCTCTCTTTGCAGGGGCTGCCGGAGTGCACTGGATGCCCCCCCAGGGGAGGGGAGTGGGAAAGTTTGTTTTGACATGTGCAGGATGGTGATGAAGAGGAGAGGAGTGCCTGGAGGGGAGCTGGAAGGGGGTCTGAGCCCTGGCTTCTCCCTGAGCTGAGCACAGGGATCCTTCCGAAGGGAACGGGTGATTCAGGCAGTGGGAATGTGTTTCACGATTTGATTTGTATGTGTGTCAGGGGGTAAGCTTTATCATCCAGAGCAAGGTCTGTAAAAGGGATCTGCAGAGGCTGATGCTTTAGGGGATGCCACGAGGTAGCCCCTCCAAAGTCTGACATCGCCCCCCCTTACAGGGAACTTGCTGATCTGCTCCTGAGACCTGGAGAGGCCAGCAGAGGTGGGGAGGAGGAGAGACGGGGGTGGGAGTGTGGGAGTTCTTGTGCTGTTTCACAGCCCCATGAAGGTCAGGGCCAGGGCATGGTGGGGGTAGGGCAACAGAGCCCAAGTCCTGAACAAGTTGCAGGATAGCTGAGCGCAGAGAGCCCACTTATAGAAAGTCCACAATCCACAAAGAGCCAGCCAGAGGCACAGCCTTAGGGTCTTGGGGAGGGGGGGTTGGATGACAGATTCCCCTCTGCCCTCTTCCTCCCCAATCTCACCTCTCCAGAGAAGGCTCCTGAGGGGACAGGCTGCCTCCTTGTCATCAAGAACCTTAAGACTGCTTTGTCCTCTCCTGAGGCTAGAGTTCTGGGGACACAGGGACAAGGGGCTGATTCAGAGTAGGACGCGTGAGAAACAGAGGGACCCCATCCGCACCAGAGGCTTAGAGAGTGGCGGTACTGAGACAGATCTGAGACCACAGTGCCCTGAACTTGTCCTCAAAGAGCTTATCACAGTCCTAATTAAGGCAGATGGGTGATTGATGGCTTACGTCTGCTGCCCCACCTACACACTATGGGCCCTGTTCTTGTCTTGCTCCCCGTTTCCTCAGCACCTGCAGACCTTAGGTGCCTAAAAAATACCTGAATAAGTGAATGAGTGAACAAATGACATGAGTAACAGTGAGTGTGAGCCAGGTGCTAGCTACATCACTTCACGCAGGGCCAGTAATAACATGGAGAGGCCCATTTGGCAAGTGAAAGCCTGAAGCTCAACAGGCAGGAGGATGTGCCCTAAGTTCTTTGGGGGGGGGGGGGGTAGAGAGGAGATGCAGCCCCAACCTGAAGGACTGTGGCTGGGAAGTATTTCTCAAAGGATAGCTAGGTGAAAAGATGAAGCCTGTCGAATCCAGAAGATGGGAGTTGTAGATGGGGGAAACATTTGTCACAATGACACTGACCAGGGGATCCCTGGGTGGCTCAGTGGTTTTGCGCCTGCCTTTGGCCCAGGGCACAATCCTGGAGTCCCGGGATCGACCCGCGTCGGGCTCCCGGCATGGAGCCTGCTTCTCGCTCTGCCTGTGTCTCTGCCTCTCTCTCTCTCTCTCTAGGTCTATCATAAATAAATAAAAATAAATCTTAAAAAAAAAAAAAACAATGGTGCTGACCAGGTGCTTCTCAGAGCCAGCTGGTGTGGGGCAGGTGCCAGGTTTGTAGATGGACCAGACAGGGTCTTCCCGGGGGCCTCCCTGCCCTGAGAGCTTCAAGAGAGCTGTCACAAATCTGAGGCTGTTCTGTGCACACCCTGTGGCTTCCCAGGGCCTCCAGGCCCCTGGATGCCATCAGCTAGCACTGGAGATGCCTCTCAGATCCCCTTCGCCACTGCCCCCCCCCCCCCCCCCCCCGCCAGCCCTGAGAAGCCAAGCTGGCTCACAGGTGTGTCCTCAGCTTGCAAACACAGTTCTCTGGTTCCTAGGAGGATTTCAGCAGATAGCACTGACTGAGCCAGGACCCTCTCTGCCAGTTCATGTAGCAGGGATGAGGCTCCTTGCTCCCCAGCCCTGGGCACAGTGCCTGGCCCTGAGTAGGGCTCCTGAATTGGACAGAAATGCAATGAGAAGCCAGAGTTTGGGCCAACCCAGCAGAGATACCCTGGGTTTCTATGAACCTGAGCTGTCCCTAGCCCCAGAGAGCCTCTGACGTCAGAGGTGAGGCCTGGGGGTGTGCTGACTGGCTTCTCTCTCTCTGCAGCATGAACGTGCAAGGTGATTATGAGCCTATCGATGCCACTGGTTTCATCAATATCAACTCCCTCAGGTGAGCAGCTCTGGCCTTGATGGGTCTTCAGACCCCCCCCCCCCCCGCCCCGGGTGTGGGTAGCAAGCTCTGATGGGACCTCAGATAAGCCCTAGAGAGACCCTCCCTTCCCGTCCCTCTGCCCACGCAGCTTCAGTGCCTGCTCCTATTCTCAGAGGGGCAGAAGGCACAGCCAGAAGCCACTGAAGGTCTGGGGCACTGGGGTTCCATGTTTCTGAGTCCTGTCCTTTGCCTTGGACACTCAGTCCAACCCTCTGTAGCTGCAAGAAGGACTCCACCAGGAGCCCCCTTGCTTGGGGAGGTTAGAAAGAGAAGTGGCTGAGAGGTAGAAGGGAACCTCAGAAAGTCATCAGGCCAGAAGGCACCTGGTACCTACCTACATGTCACCATACCTGAGCTGCAGGTCTAGCTGGAAACTATCCTAGCCACGTGGATACCCATGGCCTAGTGAGGTAGCCCACACCATCTGAAGCCACTGAGACCTGCGTCCAAATCCTGGCTCTGCATTATGGTCTCGGCCTCCCTTCTGGACCCCTGGGAACACAAGTGGGGATGTTGACCATAGCCACCTCACAGGTGTGGCCAAAGTTAGCATGAGTCCTGGGAAATCAAGCACTCAGCCCAGACTTCCGCCTGCAGGAAGAGCACGGTGACTGGCAGCACACGTGCTCAGCGTGGGTGTAGCCCGGACACACACAAAGGCAAACAGGGTCATTTATTACCGGCAGCTACTGTACACTAGCCTCCAGGCACCCTCCTGGGTTGTCTCATGGCATTCTTACACACAAATTTGCACCTCCAGAAACAGGCCCAGGGTGGTTAAGTAACCTGCCCACAGTCACCCAGCGAGGAAGCCGGGGAGCTAAGTCCAGGTGTGTCTGTCCAGCTCTGGGTTCTGATCACCAACATCCTTCTCTCAGGGCTTGGCATTGGGAAGAAGGCACGAGTCTCTCTAGCCTCCCTGACACATGTCCTGGACACAGAGCCACCATTTTCTCCGAACGCCAGGCTCTTGTCCCTGGAGCTGAGACTGGGAGAGACGATGAATCCAGCTTGACCTTCCCTGGTGCTCTCGGGGCGACAATCACCTCCACCGCCCCGCCTCCTTCGCCCTCTGTATTTTATGACTATAAACCCTTTTAAATGGCTCCAAACACATCGGGTTTTCATAATGGCCTCTTCATCTCTCCCATTGCCAGTTAAATGCTTTGTCTTCAACAATGCCAAGCAATGTTTTCCCCCAAAGATAAATTAATTACATTATCCTGATTGGATGGCAGGAGGGGCCAGGGCAGGAGTGGGAACAGAGGCGGAGAAAAAAAGACAACTTCACACACATTTTAACTAACAGCTGCCCCCGCCACCCAGGTTCTGCCTGAATTAATTGAACCGAGTGCGTGTTGTTATTGTTAATTTACATTTTTCTTTGTTTTGAATCTGGTTTACAGGCTGAAGGAATATCACCGCCTCCAGAGCAAGGTCACTGCCAAATAGACCCGCTGACAATGAGGAGCTGGGCCTCCTCCTTTGCCCATCTCCTGAGCACAGGCACTAATTGTTGTGATAATTTGTAATTGTGACTTGTTCTTCCCGGGCTGGCAGCCTGGTGGGGGTGCCAGGCCCCAGCTTTGTTCCCTGCTCCCCAGTAGCCTGCCCAAGTGGTCATCAGTAGCCTGCCCAAGTGATCATCAGAGGAGAGGGTGAGGTTGGCGTCGGTGGGGAGATGCAAAATGACAATTAAAAAAAAAAGATACATTAGTCTTCCGTTTCTTTATTTCTGCATAAAGAGGGTATATGTGTGGTGTCAGTCATGCTCTTCTTAGACCAACCTTTGTGTCCGCTCAAAGCCACCAAAGCCAGCTTTGGCTGGGAAACGAACTTCTCTGGAAGGATGGTGCCCTCTCTCCCAGCAAAAACTAGGAAATCCAGATGTGTCCCCCTGGGTCTGCCCAGTTGTGTCATCAACTGTGGCCCGCGTGCCACATCACAGGGGAACAGAGGGGAGTTTGGGGGACACCCCGGGGAGCTGCCCTGCCATTGCCCACAGAGGACCACTGGGAAAGGTGGCCACGACTGACCCCCCGAGAGCCCCCCACCACTGCACAGCGGCCTCAGTAGCCCAAATTGCGGAGGAGGAGGAGGAGCCCCGAGTATGAAGAAAAGCCTGAGCAGAGAACCCAAGAGGGCAGGCACAGAATAGAGCAGACACCCTTGGCGGAGGCCACCTGGCCTGCAAGGTGCCCGCTACTGCTCCTCCACCAACCAGGAACCACAGCCGCAACTTCTGTACAATGGCCCCGCCCCCTCAGTCGGGGCTCATTGGGCCGTGACTGGACACCTGACCCAAGCTGGGCCAATCAGAATCTCACTCCCAGGAACTGGGCGGGGGCAAATAGCCAGAAGTGCCGACCGGTACACCTGGGCAGGGTAGGATGCTCTGTGCCCCGGGAAGCAGAGGGGGTGGAAGGAAGCAGGAGGAAGGAGATGGGAAGAGAGAGTTTGAGGTTTAGGATCCCAGTTCCCAATCTGGTATGAACCATGATGCTGGTGGCTTTGGGGTTTTTGTTTGTTTTTGAGGAGATTCCATGCCCGTTGCAGAGCCCAACACAGAGCCTGAACTCAGGTTCCAAGATTACGATGTGAGCTGAGATCAAGAGTCAGACAACCGACTGAGCCACCCAAGCACCCAGGGCTGGTGACATTTATGATGGCATTCCTTTTTCTTTTTAAATATTTTATTTATTCGTGAGAGACACACAGAGAGAGGCAGAGACATAGGCAGAGAGAGAAGCATGTGGGACTCAATCCCAGGGTCACAATCTGAGCCGAAGGCAGACGGTCAACCACTAAGCCACCCAGGTGCCCCTATGGTGATATTTCTTTTTTTTTTTTTTATTTTTTTTTTTTATGAGTCACACACACACACACACACACACAGAGGCAGAGACACAGGCAGAGGGAGAAGCAGGCTCCATGCACCGGGAGCCCGACGTGGGATTCGATCCCGGGTCTCCAGGATCGCGTCCTGGGCCAAAGGCAGGCGCCAAACCGCTGCGCCACCCAGGGATCCCCTATGGTGATATTTCTTAATCTGGATTCTGTAAGACACCTGGGGTTCTCAGAACCAATTATCATTTAGGGCTTAAGCTTGATGAGAGAATTCCTGATACTTGCAACTAGAAGTATCTTTACTGGGAAGACTTAAGTGCTAGTTTCTCTGGGCTTTGCCCTGGTTCTGATCTCCACTCCACTGCCTTTGTCAGTGAGGGTTTCTTTCCAAACGAGTTTTGTCTTGAAAATGTCTTTTTTGGGACACCTGGGTGGCTCAGTGGTTGGGTGTCTGCCTTCGGCTCAGGGCGTGATCCTGGAGTCCCGGGATCGAGTCCCACATTGAGAAGCCTACTTCTCCCTCTGTGTATGTCTCTGCTCTCTCTGTCTCTCATGAGTAAATAAAATATAAAAAAAAGAAAAAAGGAAGAAGAAGAAGAAATATTTTTCTTAGGACACCTGAGTGGCTCAGCGGTTGAGCACCTGCCTTAGGCTCAGGGTGTGATCCTGGAGTCCTGGGATCAAGTCCTGCATCAGGCTCCCTGCATGGAGTCTGCTTCTCCCTCTGCCTGTGTCTCTGCTTCTCTCTGTGTCTCTCATGAATGAATAAATAAAATATTTTTTTAAAAAGGAAAATGTCTTTCTCTGATTATAAAAGCTATAAATGAATTACTCAATATTAGTTCTGCCAAACACTTTGCTGTACACTTTATTCACATTATCTCACTTGATCTTCAAAACAATGTTATTTTTGTTGTAGGTAGACACTTTCATCTCCATTTTGCAGAGGAGGCAACAGATGCAGAGAAATTGATTTGCCAAAGGCCACTCAGCTAGCAAGATGAGAGCCAAGAACAAAACCTGGCCTGGCTGACCCCCAAGGTCTTGTGTTTATGCCCTTAATCATCCTGATAGACTGCATCTTACTAAAAAAGTTAAAATTTTATGGCAAGAACGATCACCCATCAGCTTACTACTCAGTTACAAACACTGCTTATACTTAACGTATTTCTTTACGGTCATATTTTTCTATGCTTATAAATATTTTTGCAGAGTTATTTAGGTTAAAGTATTTTAAAAGCTGGTGTTGTTTTGTGTTTTAAAATGTTAACATTAGGGTACCTGGATGGCTCAACGGGTGAGTGTCTGCCTTTGGCTCAGGTTGTGATCCCAGAGTCGTGGGATCGAGTCCCACATCAATCTCTCCTTGGGGAGCCTGCTTCTCCTTCTGCCTATGTCTCTGCCTCTATCTGTGTGTCTCTCATGAATAAATACAATATTTTTTAAAAATAAAAAATTAAAGTGTTAACATTATATCATGAATAGTTCCCTACATCATTAAATCTCTTCTCAAACACAACAGTTACTTAATGTTCTGCTATATTGAAAAAACCCTTAAATTACTCAACCTTTCCCATTTATAGATTTAGTTTTTCCACATCTAAATTATTTTTCTGCCCTTTGCTGAATTTAATTAAGTATTTTTGGTAGTTTGTTGCTGTTGTCAAATATTTTTAAAAGGTTAAAAATAATGGGTGCCTGGGTAGCTCAGTTGGTTAAGCATATGCCTGCAGCTCAGATCATGATCCTGGGATCCTGGAATCGAGCCCCTCATCAGGTTCCCTGCTCAGTGGGGAGTCTGCTTTTCTCTGCCCCTCTGCCCTTCCCCTCACTTGTGCGTTTGCACTCTCTCTGTCTCTCTCTCTCCCAAATAAATAAATAAGACCTTTTAAAAAAAGATTAAAAATAAGAAAAGAATGCTCTGTATTTATCTTCATGTAGGATTGGTAATGTTTCTTTCTTAAATGTTTGATAGAATTTGACCAGTGAAGTTATCTTGGGCCTGGAATTTTCTGAGTGGGAAGCTTTTAAAATATAAATTCAGTTTCTTTGATTCATACAGAGTCATTCATGTTGTCCATTTCCTCGTGGGTCACTTTGGGTAATTTGTGTCTTTTGAGGAAGTTACCCATTTCATTTAGGCTACCAATTTTATTGGCATAAATCCTTTCATGATATTTCCTCATGATCTTTTTCTTTTTTCTCTCCAAAATGTGTTTATTGGGATAGTTTCCCACTCATCTTGAGTCAGGTTACTTTTAGCGCTGCTTCCATCTGAAGGAATATCCTTCTGGAAACCTTGCTTTTCCTCCTGTCAGCTGGCACAGGGCAGTGGAGCAGCCAACACACAAAACTAATTCGTGCACAGCTAAAGATGGTAGTGATTTTGTATCAGCCAGGGCACTTCACATCCATGAGGGTCCATACCAGGTTCTCCTCCTTGTGCTTCCTCTTGTCCTCTCCTGGGGACGGATGGAGGAGGTCCTTCTAGAGGAGCATGTTCTCATGGGGAGGTCATCACCTCCAAAAAGCCTCCTAATTATCTTTTTTTAAGTATTTTATTTATTCATGAGAGACACAGAGAGAGGCAGAGACATAGGCAGAGGGAGAAGCAGGCTCCATGCAGGGAACCTGATGTGGGGTCTCAGTACCAGGACTTCTGAGCTGAAAGTGAACGCTCAACCACTGAGCCACCCAGGCATCCCTTTAATTATCTTTTTAATGTATTAGGATTGATAGTGATGTACTTCTTTCATTACTTACCTTGGTATAATCTGTATCCTTGCTTTTTCTTGATCAATGTAACTAAACACTTACCATTTTTTGTCCCTTTAAATGGAATATCTCTTTTTTTCTGCATACTTTTATTTATTTTTTATTTTTTATTTTTCCTCTGACCAGATTTATTGAACATAAGAAAACTCTACATACAAAGTGACCTGGACATGCTGCTTCAAAACATGATCCTTTCTTACTAATGTTCTCATAAGTCAGTCCATTGGGTGTCCAAAAGCAGTTTACTCTAAAATTAACAGAAAAGTGCCCAATGCACACTAAATAAATGGTCTAACTATTGGAACTTTAGTCGTTCTACAAGATAATGAACGTAGGTAGGATGGAGCCTCTACGAAAGGCCGCTGGAGAACTGATGAGACGTCAAGAGGCCATTTTGTGCACTGCCACCGTGATGCCGTCATGTTTCTGGATCATAATGTTCCCATTATCTGACTCTAGACACACCACAGGAATATCAGTGGGGTCTGAGGTCAACTTCGTTGCTTGCTGGGCTAGAACAGATATCACCCCAGCATGCTCATCGGACAGGGTCCCATGGCAGCTCTGTCCTTGTTCAGTCCTTGAGAGTCCGTGCACAGGACGCCCACGATGGAGGGGTTCTTCATGGTGTCCTCCAGGTTCTGCTCCAGGGTGGCCTCCATGCCGCCGCCACCGCTGCCGCCCTTCTGCATACTTTTAAGATTTCTTTTTATTGTTGATTTTTGGCAATCTAATTAGGAGGTGTCTTGTTATGATTTTCTTACGTTTATTCAATTGGGGTTCACCGAGCTTGAACCTGTGAATTTTTATCAAATTTGCAATCATTTTGGCAGTTTTCCTTTCAGTTAACATACATCACGTAGTTTCTCATCATTGTTCTCTCCACCATGGCTCTTATCTCACTTAGCATAAAACCCAAAGTCCTTACTACAGCCAGCACCAACTACCAGACACAGAAGTGAGACCCCTGAGTCAGGCCTAAAACGACAGCAGCTGCCCTAATGATCTCACATGAGACCAGCAGGAGAATCACCCTACTCACAAACTCTGGGCTAATTAGAATGAATAAAGTTTTGTTCTATTGCATTAAGTTT